AGACAAAAATCTGAATATTTCTATATGATTCCTGTCAATTTCTGCTACGGAACATTTTTATGCACGTCGGCGTCCTGTTCTTTTGTCTTTTGTCTGTAGGTCAGCGTCAGCCCCCCAGGCCTGAGTCGGGCGCCATTTTAATTTTTGCCGTTTAGATTTGATTGGAAGTTTGTTTCTGATATTTCGGCTGAAATTCATCCGACCAGTACTAAGATGTTTTTGATATAAAGTTCCTTGTTAACACTTTAATAAAGTATATATGATATTAATTACATGAAGAAAATGATGAAATCGACGTTTCAGCGATGTAGCAGGTATGGGTCATATTATAGGTAAAAATAGGTAATATATTAACTGTTTATATTTTTTTAGGCCTTTAAACCCAAGGATCTTGGGATATTCTTTGCCAAGGATTTTTTAGTATCTCTACTTTAAAGAATTGATCGGTGATTTTGCAAGCAAGTTATACAACTGTAAATTATGATTATTGAACTATTATTAGCCTACATTAAATTTCTACAAGATGAACAGAAATGCGTAATTACATATCACATAGGTACCTATTATTAATTTTCATAGCAATAATGGCATTCTATAAATCTCTATTCAATGTATGTAGATTATTTTAAAAAATACAAAAAGGAGGTATTAGATGTATAAGAGTGCCCTTAATATAAGACTTTGAACAGGGCAAGGTGTAAAAGGATTATAAATGCTGTATTTTATATCCTTAGTATCATGGATAATATAAAATTTTGAGTAAGTATCTCCATTTATATCAACTGTTTTTGTTAAGGGCACCCCTTAGTTTTAATTGTTCTGAAACAAGCAGTATAATAATAATTTAACCTCCCTGCTCTTTTTCATAGTATCATATTTTTATTCATTTTATTTTCATTCAAGTCCTGTTTGATTTAATTCACAAAAAGTCTTATCCAGGTACCTATATTTATTTTTTTACATATTTTTTTTGATTCCAGGTTTTGTGTGGGTTCCAGTTGCCTTTTTCCCTGCTTCCAGTTATTTAGTTTTATGCCCGTGAAGCTGTGAAAACAAATCTATTTATCTTCAGAGTTTCTGTAAGTCAATGCACTGTTACTTTACTAATTCAAACAACACAGCATCTCTGATATTATTTAAATATTTAATATTGATACAGTAGTTTATTGGTTTATAGCTCTGAAAATTGTGTTGATTTGCATATTTACATTGTTCTAAATTCCAAATAAATATTTTTGAGTAATTTTGTTGTATTATTTACTACTAGAAAGAGTAAAAGGTATATTAACCCTCATTTAAACCTCCTGAACAGCCCGCCATTAAAAACCGGAAACGGAAATAAATTTCATAAAATTGAAATTGTCATGTCCATAGTCATGTCAAATGTCCCAGCCGCCATATCTGAAAATTAGTTACCCAGGCAGCCACGCTGTTTCCATAATTTAACATTGACTTGACACTTCTTCTTGTATTTATTATTTTATGGTTTAAACATCAAAATATTATTATATCGACATTTTGATAGTCTCAGCAGCGTTTTTATCTTTTGATTGCTTTTCTAAAAATGCCTTTGTTCAAAAGAGAAAAATCGCTGCTAAGAATATCAAAATGTTGATCTAATAACACTTTGACGTTTATACTATTACGTCAAAAGCTACTCTTTTCCAAAATCTACCATGACTTCACTGAGGCTTCAAAAGACATTATAAATTCTTCCTAAATCTATGGAGGCTTCGTTTCTTATTCACTGTCATTGATATCTTAATTATTAGATATTAATACATCTGATATTATGGTATTGTGGTATATTGTCGATTTTAGAATAAATTAATCGGTTCTATATTACTTTTTATTAGAATGGTCATAATCAAGGGGGCTACTGTAACCGTGTTATAAAAATAAAGAAATTAAGGGCTTATTTTTTCGTATTTATTTTAATTTTGCTAATATCTTCGGTTTGAAAAAAGATATCAAGATGTGGATTTCGTTGACTTTTTAAGCTTTTATTACTCTTTACCATCAGCTAAAATTACATATACAATCGCATTTATTTTTTTTTGAGAAAACGCGCAATGTTTGTTAAATTTTAAGACAGTGCCCCCTAGCGTCCACATTCAAAAGCTTATTATTACTGTTTATACGGTATAATATAGAGTAAGAAACGCTCTTTTAAACGAGCCCCAGTTTGTTGGATTCCGTTGAACCAGTCCGGAGTTATTAATATTTAAACAAAAATAGATCTAACCTTCCCCCACCACTTTATTTTAGCAGATAGGCGAAAATGTTTCTAACATAAAAGGTCCAAAATTTACTGAAGATTGTGAAGCTATTATTTATAGTACACCTTATCTAGGCAAAACTTCGAAAAAAATCCATTTTCCTATTTTCCATAGCAGTTGTGCCCTCTAGCGGCCGTTCAACAAACCTAAAACTAATTTCCATCAATTTGTCACGGTCTCTTTAATTATAAATATTTTTTCCGCAAGCCCTACGACTAATACTTTCCGAGATACAGCCGAGAGCTATTCTTAGTGGGACACCCTGTACCAGTTGTTGACAAACTTCTTTATTAGAGCATGCATATTTAAATATCTTTAAATATATCAAAAACAAAAGCTTTTAGACATATTAAACCCTTATAATAAATGCCTTCTTTTATGTCCAAGAATCCAAAAATGAAATAAAATACCGGGTGTTCCGTAAGAAAAAAAATATAACTTTGGTATGGATCTTAGTTCTGATACGCCATTTCTTCGCTTTGTTATTGATTTGCTCCATAGGATTCCATTTAGACATCCGATTATTTTACAGCGTTGATAATCCTTTTCACTATTTCTCTGCCATCAGTTCAAAAAAATAAGTTTATTTTCAGTGCAGTTTATTAAGATATCACGATGGAAGGTAAATTTCATACCTTGGTTATGAAAATAAGTATAAGATATATTATATTTTTAGAAAGCTCCATGACAAGGCAAATAAAATAAAAAAATAATATACAGATGTTCCCTTTAGAAAAACATAAGTTTGGGTCATATTTTGGAAATGACACCTCTCAGCGAAAAACTAGTTACGCCACTGGTTTCTACATAAAATACTGTACAGGACAGATTTTTCGCCTTTTCGATAAGTTATGAGATAAACAAGATACAAAGGGGGTCAAAAATGGCATGTTTTCAAATTCGCACTGTAGTTCAGAAACCAAGAAGGCTAGAACAAATATGTGTGTAGCATCTTTAGTTTCATAAAAAAGTAGTACATCAGTGATGTGAAAATCGCATCTTTGTATCTCTCTCTACACACAAACGAGAAACCCCATAAAACACGAAAATGGGACACCCTGTATAGGGTTAGTCAGATGCATTTAGTGCAATACTTGCGGGCTTACCTATTGTAGGTAGTAAGAAATTTTAAATGTAAAACTTGTGAATTAAAAATAAAGACAATGAGACATCAGTAAGTTAAGAAAAATCTAGAACTTCACTTTTTTTAACACCCGTACCTATATTTTAAGTTATTTTGAAAAATTGTTTCTTCCGATTTCAAATATATTAGTACGAGAGCTAGCAACGTCGGAAAAGAAGTATTTTAAGACGTCAGGCTCTTTGATATATCTTTTACTATGCTCTCTAGAACAGCATGTGGCCCGTCTGGCTGCAGGTAAACCTTGCGTTCCCTACTGCCTACTGCGCATTGAAAGAAGATTCTATATTTTTATTAGTCCTTTAAATTCTAGTATTGAATATAAATCGAACATGTTAATGACATGTTTCCATAGTGCAGTGCGTAGGGTTTCCGACCACGAACCGATGATTCAGAGTTCGAATCCGGGTCAGGGTAAAGACTTTTTTATGTTATTTTCGTTTATATTCTGATAGTAAAGTATTAAATATTTGTTTTTTTAATTACCAGAATTACTTTTAATACTTTACTATCAGAATATAAACGAAAATAAAATAAAAAAGTCTTTGACCTGACCCGGATTCGAACTCATCGGTTCGTGGGCGGAAACTCTACGCACTGCGCTATGGAGACATGTTCGATTTATATTCAATACTACAATTTATAGGACTATGGAGGCTAAAAGGCTTTAAAGCTCTCCATTTATAGGACTATATTAATAAAAAATATAGGATCTTCTTTGGATGCGCAGTAGTGAACGCAACGGGTATCGGCAGCCAGACGGGCCGCATGCTGTTCCAGAGAGAAAGTAAGTAAAAAATATATCAGAGCCCGACTTTCTCGAAAACGTTGCTAGCTCTTAGACTATATGATTTTATTTATATTTACTTACCTTTTCACTGTTTTTCAATTATACATATGGGTTTAATCAATGCAACCGCTACCACACAAAAGTTAGAGAGTAATATAAGGGTAATATCCAACAAACCACGAAAGATTTCGGCAGACGACACCCAAAAATTACAGAAAATCCAATTTAACTGTGAATTAAAATGAAAGACACGAATATCACTGACAGACTATATAATTTTGATATAATTTTTTGTTAAGTTTTAATTTTTGTTTAAGTTTCTAGTATTTCTGTACTGCTTCTGTAACTATTTTTTTATTTCAGGACAAATTTTTTAATTTGACAATTAAAAATCAACATAATATTCCCTTTTGAAATACTTATATTCTGGCTAATGGACAATTTGATGTAACTGTTATTAATAACTGCAAAACTAAGCTAATTGAATTTTTAATTAAACTGCACTACATACTACACTGCCATTTGAAAATTAGTACTGACTTGTAACATTCTATCGTTGAAACGAAAATTTAAAGATCTACATTGAAAAAATATACATGTATCTTGTGTTCACTGCCGGTTAAACCAGAAGTGGTATTCAGTTGTTTTTAACAAGAAATGTGAGCTGATTATTATATTTAATAAACTACACACTGTACCCAAGTTTCAAATCTATACAATAAAAATTAATGAAACTGAAGTTTGTGCAACCATTTTGTTGCCACCCGGTGTATAAATTATAAACCTTATGTTAATATATTAAAATTGTATATTAGAAAATTTTGTACAAATACCTACTTAAAACAAATTTATTATTATGGCACTTTGTTGAATATTTTAAATCAAAAACTTAATACCAAAGTAAACTTTTTAATGTAAAATCTTTTCAATATACGACCAAATGTGATGTATCTTTGATTTTTCATCGAATAAACTTTTCACCATTACAAGTTGAACTAAACAGACCAAAATCATCACCACTAAAGTCAACATAGAATAAGTATTTACTTTAAAAAAGGTTTCTTCTGCAACATTTCTATCTCGAGCTTCTGTTGATTTGATCATGTCCTGTAAATGTCGTACTTTATTTAGATGATCTCTCACATTGTTCACCAGCTCCTGAACATCTTCAATTTTTAAGTTATATATCTCGTCAGGTTCGATGCCATCAAAATTATAATTTTCGTCAGAGCCCCATTTATCTTCTTCACTATTATCAACAATCAATTCAAAAAATACTGTTTTTGTACTGATGGAACTAAATTTGTTATCGAAACAAAATCTATAGTCGCCGTTCTCTTTTGCGTCGATCTTATGACTGTTTTCTGATTTCTTAAAATCAGCCACAATAATTCTTCCTATTGGGTCTAAAATATTGAGTGAAATGTCCAGTTCCCCATGTCCGCCACTAATAACTTGATATTCAATCTCCGCAGATTCGCCAGCTTTCAGAGTATGATAAAAACAATCTTCTTTTGATGGATCTATACTCACAGTAAATTCCTTTTCGAAACTACTCGCCAAATGTATTAACTGCACGACAAAATACAAAAATATAATTTTAGATGTCATTTTGAAATGTTTTTAAATATTCACGAATTAACTTGACTTGTAATTGTGATAACATTTAGAAACACTCGATAGTTAATTCAACTCTTCCACTAAAAAGATACCATTATATAAATAAAGAGTCTATATTTAAAACATCAGAATCAGAATAATTTAACTTACTGAGTATTAACCTAGCTTTCCAGAATTTTCAAACTTCTATGAGTTCTATGCCAGACTTCCTCATGAAACTTCCTAAATACAGGGAGGTGGGTCTTTTAGGGTGGTATATTTCGAACCCAGGGAGGCGTCCATGAAATTTATTTTTGTTTGGCAAAAAGTATTTAGAAAATTTTGTATTTATGACTTTTTTGAATTTTCAGTTAAAAAACATATGAAAAACATATCTTAAAAATTTGGCAACATAGCAGTAAGTGAATTCAAATCCTTTTCAAATTAAATTCAGGATTCAGAGATATGGAGAAAATCCACCCTTTTCCATATCTTCGACTGTGTCTTCGATATCTCTCAAGTATATTTTACACAATATTTTATTCAAAGCTAATTAAATAGAGGAACAAAAACCAGAGATAGGGAAGGGATATGAAAAAAACAGAATGGACATATGTATTTGAAAAACGGTAAAAGGCAAAGAGAAAATATTATATTTCTTTTATCGAGATCTACCAGCCCTTGACACTTCTTCAAAACACCCTGTATAAACAGAGCAACAAACAAAATACGTGAAAATACCATGATACAAAGAATACAATTTTTCTTGTATGATGACAAAATACACTAAATACCCACAAATTCCTAAGGATGGTTCATAATAAAATACTCGTACAACTCGTACTTACTCAAGCATAAAATTCCAACAACGATAGCATCTAAATTAGACTAAATTAAAGATAAAAAATAAAAATTATCCAACAATTCGAAAAAATCACTTTAAAAATAATAAATTTCTTCTGATATTTTTTTTTATAAGATTAGAGAAATTACACACACTTTGGCAATACAGCTTGTTGCCCCCAACCATAGACTAATGTCATCTATTTTAGTATCCATCTTCTGTGGCTTGATTAGGGAGCATCCTGTTCTAGCATCACTTTGCAACGGTATTTATTTTACGTAACATTCGTAATGGTTGGTGTGTAAAAAATTGACCTGGAAAAAAGTCACTTTTAATGGAAGATATTAGCTGATATTAGTTTGATCATGTTAATAAATACTTATATCCTTTAAGCTTTAAGCGCAAGGAATCTGATCTGTGTTGTATCCAGAGGTTGTATCTAAAAATGTACAATATACTTTTTTTGCGTTTCTTAAATCAAAGAGTTTTTTTTCTTCTAAACATGAACTGTGTTAAGGAAGTCTGATTCTTCCGCTCGTCGTGTTTCGTAGCGCAAAAAACATGTTTTATATTTACTCTTGTCTAGTAAATCTTTAAATTAATATAATAATCATATAATTATATGTTTGTAATGGAACATTCAGATTAACTATTAAAAATAAAATAATGGGGTTTACCAATAATGGTAAAATCAGACTTAAAAGACAGAATACATACAAATTTTGAAATATTTGGAAATTAATATAGATTGAAAATTGAAACTGATACATTCGTAATAGTAATATTATATTTTAAAACATGACAAAGTTAAGCTTGAACAATGCGTTATAATAGTTATAATTAAAAAAATGTGATATATTAGAAACAAATATTAGATACCTGAAAAAGAAAAAGACGGACGATATATCCCTATCAAGTAATATCCCATGGCCACGGCTGTGGCCCCATGGCTAAATGTATTAAGTGACTTATTTTTTAAAACCGGCAACATCGTATTTGATTTGGGCTGACTTTTCTTCTACCTGAATTTTAAATTGATCACGTTTTTTTGATTTTCCAAGAATTTTCCAATTCTAAAATAATCGAGATGATGGTAAATAGACTATTTTTCCTTTTTTAACACTATTTTCATTCGTATTTGTAAAGTATATTTTACAATTTTTATGTTCTACACGAGTTAACCTGCACCTGTACCGTGAATAATATGTATCCCTTTTATTATATTTTCAGCAACCACAAATTCTCTTATTAAAGGAAGGAACAGACACATCTCAAGGAAAGCCTCAATTAATATCAAATATAAATGCTTGTCAGTCTATTGTTGATGCTGTTCGTACAACATTGGGCCCAAGGGGTATGGACAAATTAATTGTTGTCAGATCTGGCAAGGCTACAATATCTAATGATGGAGCTACTATAATGAAGCTCCTTGATGTAGTTCATCCGGCTGCAAAAACTCTGGTAGATATCGCAAAGTCACAAGATGCTGAAGTCGGAGATGGCACCACCAGTGTTGTTCTTTTAGCGGGTGAATTTTTAAAACATATAAAGCCATATGTTGAAGAGGGAGTTCACCCCAGAATTATTATCAAGGCTGTTAGAAAGTCCCTGCAACTCTGCTTGGAGAAAATACAGGAAATTTCTGTGAAAATTAATAAATCCAATGCTTTAGAATTCAGGTCATTATTAGAAAAATGTGCTTCAACTGCAATGAGTTCAAAACTCATTAGTCAACAAAGGGCATTTTTCTCTAAAATGGTAGTAGATGCTGTATTATTGTTAGATGATCTCATGCCATTAAATATGATTGGAATTAAAAAGGTGCAAGGTGGAGGTCTTGAAGACTCAACTCTAGTTGCTGGTGTGGCGTTTAAGAAAACATTTTCATATGCAGGATTTGAAATGCAGCCTAAAGTCTATAAGAACTGTAAGATTGCATTGCTCAATATTGAACTTGAATTAAAGGCTGAACGGGATAATGCTGAAGTTAGGGTTGATAGTGTTAAAGAATATCAGAAAATTGTCGATGCTGAATGGAATATATTGTATAACAAATTGAAAAAGATTCACGAATCTGGTGCAAATGTGGTTTTGTCAAAGTTACCAATTGGAGATGTAGCAACTCAGTATTTTGCTGACAGGTTAGTAATTTGTTAGTTGATGTTTACCAGTATTTTTACTTATTTATATTATTTTACTATTTTAGAGATATGTTTTGTGCTGGTCGAGTAGCAGAAGAAGATCTGAGAAGGACGTTAAAAGCTTGTGGTGGAGCTGTAATGACTACTGTAAATGATCTTAATGATTCAGTTTTGGGTAATTGTGATTTGTTTGAAGAGAGGCAAATTGGAGGAGAGAGATATAACTTCTTTAGAGGTTGTCCGAATGCAAAAACCTGCACTATAATCTTAAGAGGTGGTGCAGAACAATTTCTTGAGGAAACAGAAAGGTCACTCCATGATGCCATCATGATTGTTCGCAGAACCATTAAAAATGATGCTGTTGTTGCTGGTAAGTTTTAAAGTATTTAATATGTTCATTATTTTATTTGTTTTGATAATTATTAATAAGTGTTAAGTAGAAAAGTTTTGGGATTATTCTTGAGTACACAGGATGTTTCAAAAACATTTGGTACATATAATATATTTTTTTTAATGTAACACTATTTATAGATTGTGCATAATATTCCCTAATGTTTCTATATATGTTTTAACCTACTTACCTAAAACTAGTAGTTTTAGTAATATTTCAATATGTTTAAAAAATGTTGATTTTGTTATGGTAAAAATTTGTTAGTGAGGCTATTGTTTCTAAAGTTGGAGGATTCAAATTTAGTGGAAGAGTTTTTAGAGATGAAGAAAAATACTAAGTTAGATGCTTTAGGCAAAGACTACACCTTTAGGTGTTTAACATATACTTATGAATTTCAACTATTTAAAAAAAATCTCATTGTCTTTACAAGAGAAAATCCTTTATTATTAATTTTTTGAGAAAATGCATTCTTTATAAAAGGTTTTGCTTGTTCTAAATTGATTAATCCCATTTATACCTTTTCAAATTTCTATACGATTTTATAGAGAAATCAGTATGAAAATATAATTGAATGTGCGTTTCTATGGTAATATTTCGTTTTCATTAATTCACAGAGATGGTTATTATTAATTTTGATTAACATCATATTTTTTGCTGTATTAAAATGTTAAAAAGCACAACATTTATTTAGTTCAATGTTGCAGAAAGAGTCAATACTAGTTATTGAATGATACTTTAACAACTGCAAAAACTATGACGTTAATAAAAATTAATTATACTGGGTGCCTCAAAAGTGGCTCACCCCTATAACTTTTTAATTTTTTCAGATAAAACAATGAGATTTGGTATGTTAGTATATGACATAAATTGGGATTGATTGGCGTATTCAATTGTTTTCGGTCACTTCCGGTTTCACCGGCAATGACTACAACTTTTGATTTTTAAATAGCACCCTCGGTATTTTTTTACTTTATTCGACAGAAAATAACACTCTGTCATAAAATAACGCTATAATCATATGTCCATTTTGGACATAGTCACTCAAAAACAAATTCGATTTTAAATTTCAATCTAGAGTATCATGGCTGTGTTAAAAACACTAATTTTTAATCAAGGAGCCTTGGAAAAATAGATTTGATTGTCTAATGTTTTTAGTGTCTTGTCCTGGCCAGATAAAATATGCCCAAATCGTATTTTGAATCATATCTCAATTTTTTCAAATGGAACGAGGGTGGCTTATTAGCATATTTGGAAAAAGCATTTTTCACGAATAATTTGATACCACACACTTGGTATTTTGAGTCAAATTGCCGTTATGGACCGCATGTTACAATTTCAAATGAACCATATGCCAAAATGTCAAAAGTTGACATATGATATGTCATTCGATTCACAGTGTCATTTTCTATCGAATAAAGTAAAAAAACACCGAGGGTGCCATTTGGAAATCAAAAGTTGTAGTCATTTCCGGTGAAACCGGAAGTGGCCGAAAACAATTGAATACGTCAATCAATCCCAATTTATGTCATATACTAACATACCAAATATCGTTGTTTTATCTGAAAAAATAAAAAAGTTATAGGGGTGAGCCACTTTTGAGACGCACCCGGTATACCAAACAATGAATATAAAATAGTATTTTTAAATTGAACTGTATTTTCACATTTTTTTTATTTGTTTCTCGAAACGGTATACAAATTTGGAAAAATATAAATGGGATTAACCATTTTAGAACAAGCAAAATCTTTGATAAAGTATGCATTTTTAAAATGTTAACAATAAAAAGGTTTTCCTCTTCTAAAGATGATCTGGAGACTAACTTTATACCTATTTTTAATGGTACAACTTATTCATATTTGTCCAGTGATTTGTAGTGCTACAAATAGTGATGGGCAAAACTGTTATTTTTGGATAACAGTTGAAACTGTTATAGTTATTTATAAAAAACAGCTTAAAATAACAGCTTAAAAATAACAGGTTTCTTTATTTTATTGCTAAATATCTGAAAGAATATGAGGCGGTCACCGCCAGGCGTATTAACGCAGTTGCAACAATGACGTGCTCGGTGGTAGTATTTCCAGGGTGTCATAACATTTCTAAATATCGATTGTTATCTAAAATACCTCTCTAAAAACGGGGGTTGTTTACAAATAAGCGCTGTTTACAAATTGCGATATAAAAAAGCCAAAATGCCGCCACTCGTCTATATCTATAAATTCCGATCTACCTACGCCCTACCCCTCGATCCGCGTAGATTCTGAATTGCGTAGCAGTGTACAGGGTGCATCTCACTCGACGGGCGAGAAGCTCTTCGTTATGATTTTACCATTTGCGGTCAAAAAATAGCAATATAAGAAAATGTGTAGTATATTCTTCATAAGTAAACCAACTACACACTAGAGTTCGAATTAATTTTACACTTAAACTAGCATGTACAGTTTGACAAATATAGGAAGAGACTTGGGGATAGCACCGGTCGCGCACACGATAGAGAGAGAACGCATTCGGCGGAAGAGAGATGCAGTTACGCTACGAAAAATCTGATTGAAGCAAATTTGTGGGATGTCCACTGCGCATCGGGGGGCGTCTCTTATTTTATATTTCTCACGTCTCTAGCTATACTTGTTAAGTTGTACCCGCGACTTCGTTCGCATCGAATTATTAATTTGTAATGGTGATGATAAAGCAAAGCAAGAATTTCCATTAACATACAAACTGGATAAAATTTTCTCACATTTGCCAAAAATATGCTTTAAACGTCGAGCAGTTTAAGCAGAATCGTGGTTAATCAATTACTCAACTTTTTGGAACACCCTGTATTATTTTTTAAAAAATTTCAAAATATGTAAAAAAACAAAATAAATTATGCGTGTCCAATCGTTTTCCCGAAAGACTAACCGTTTTTTAAATAATAAATATTGTAATATTTGAGGGGCGTTTTCACCCTCTTGGAATTTGAGATTCGAGAAACCCCTCCTTATCGCACCTCTACACCCCACAGTCAATCCGTTTACCAAAAATCAGCTTTAAACGTCAAGCAGTTTAAGCAGAATAGTGATTACTCAGTGGTCATATTTTATGAAACACCCTGTATATATTTTGTAAAAATCTCAAAATATGTAAAACAACAAAATAAAATATACGTGTTTAAGAGTTTTTTCGAAAAACTCACCAGTTTTTAAATAAAAAATATTCTAATATTTGAGGGTGGTTTCACCCCCTTAGAATTTGAGTTTCGAAAAATCCCTTCTTATCGCACCTCTACACCCTAAAGTCAATCCGTTTTCCAAAAATCAGCTTTTTACGTCAAGGGCTTTAAGCAGGATCGTGATTAATCAATGACCAGATTTTTCAAAACACCCTGTATACATTTTTAAAAAATCTTAAAATATTATTCTGAAAATTTTTCAGAATAAATAAATACTTAAATATTGAAACTTAATAACAAAGTATTGAAACATACAGCGCCATAATATCTCGACCTCCGCCCGTTATGCTCGTAACAGGTTGAAAAACAATATGTATCTAAAACAACTGATGCGTTATTCTCCAACCTGTTTCAAACCTCCGATTATCTCGAACGCCGTTCTGTTATGCTCGTAACAGGTAAAAAAACAACATAGCTAAAACAACTGATGCGTTATTCTCCAACCCGTTGCGAGCCTCCATCGACAATCGACCGATGCAGCAGCGCTCCTTTCCCACTCCTGTTATCTCGACAGCCAGGCGTTATGCCCGCAACTGTTTCAAAAAAGCTGCTTCTTTTATATCCTATTATTTTTAAGCTGTTGTCAGCCCAACACGACGCGCCGCGCCGTAGCGCATACCCCACTCCGTTGTCCGTTGTATCTCGCCGCCTGTATCGATGGTTGTCGAAATAATAGGTTTTCCATCCATACTAGTTGTTTTTTGGAATTGCTTCGAGCAGCATCGAATTTCGTGGCGGTGCAGAGCGCCGACTTCGTTTCACGAACACTCGATCTCTGCGTGTCGTTATTTTATATCTGTTATTTTTTAAAAGCAGCAACGGTTGCGTTATGTTATTTCTAAATAATTGTTATAAAATAACAGATAGTTAAATAACAACCCATCACTAGCTACAAATGAGAAAAATAAATATATTTTACTTCATGTTGAAGAAAATTCCCATATACGCCAAGAACTTCAAGACTCTGATTGAGTATTTAAGTAAAGTTAAAAATTATTAATAAAATAAAAGGTGATAATAACATTTAGTGACTACTTATTAATGATTAATAATAAACAATATTTGTTTAATCATGGTAGCTATTTATGTTATAGCGTAAACGAATTAAGAAGTGTAAAAAATGAAAAATTAAGTCACAAAGTATTAATTTTTTTTCTAATTTTCAAAAAATACAACATGGCAAACTTTATTCTGCTGTTTGCTTAGTTGTTAACTATCTCTGTGCTAGAATGGTGACAATTAAAGAAAACGTGACATATACAGTGTGATACAGTTTTCCAAACATACCGGGAAAAGTGGCTCACCCCTATAACTTTTTTATTTTTTCAGATAAAAAAAACTATATTTGGTATGTTAGTACTCAATTGTTTTCTGTCACTTCCTGTCTCACTGGAAATGACTACAACTTTTGATTTTTAAATGGTACTCACGGTGTTTTGTTGCTTTATTCAATAGAAAATGACATTGGATAGAATGACATATCATATGTCAACTATTGACATTTTCGAATATGGTTTATTTGAAATTGCATTCATAACAACAATTTGATTCGAATTACCAAGTGTGTAGTTCCAAATTATTCGTAAAAAAATGCTTTTTCCAAATATGCTAAAAAATTTGATTTTTTTTCCATTTGAGATATGATAAAAAATGCGATTTGGGCATCTTTTGACTGGCCAGGACAAGACACGAATAATATTAGAAGATCAAATCTATTTTCCAATGCTCCTTGATTAAAATTTGTTTTTTTTTTTAACAGCCATGGCACTCTAGCTTGAAATTTAAAATTCAATTTTGTTTTAAGCAAAAATGCCAAAAGTTGACATATTATATGTCATTCTATTTAGAATGTAATTTTCTAATGTTGATAAACACGTGAACTGCTCACAAATACACGTCGCGTCACTACGTATTGCATCCTTGTTGAATGATGTAATATACAGGGTGTCCCACTTAAGATGGATACAAGCCAATATCTTGATTGTTTGTTGAGCGATCTTTTTCATTTTGGCAGGAGGCTGTATGGCTATAAGACGTACGTTTTGCTCGGGGTAAGAAATGCGATACCTCATAGACGTACGTTTTAATGGGGTTTGATATTTTTCAAGTCAAGAGTAAACTAGGACCCTTAGGACAGTATTTATTTCAAATCTGATAAATTATATTGAATCCTCCTTACCTAAGATACTTAAGTTTTAATTTTGATAAATATTGATACAGGGTGCGTCATTAAAATAAGACATTTTTATTTTTATTATTATCGATTTAAGTTTTCAGATAGCTTCCGTAATATTTAAGATACAATACAAAAAACTAAATATTTTCAATTTATTTTGTCTACTTTAAAAAATTGTTTTTTAAGTTTGCTAATACAAGTGAGTTACAATGAGTTACAATATAATTTAAAACCCCAGTTTTCAGTGGAATCTGAAATATGATTTTTATTCGTTTTATTGAGGAATATTTTAAAAAATCCAAATAGATATTTAAAACAGTTACTATTAACTTTGAAAATATGCTCTAAACAAAGATTTATAAAACTATAACGAACTAAAAGTCAACATCTTCGACCAAACCACCATAAAAAAAACGATTATTAATTGATAATTGGTTATTGATAATAAACCAGTTGTTTATCCAGTGGCGTCGTAAGTACTTAAAAAAATAATAATAAAAATAAAAATGTCTTATTTTAATGACACACCCTATATCTATCTTGACTCGAAAAATATCAAACCCCATTAAAACGTACGTCTATGAGGTATCGCATTTCTTACCCTGGGTCTTATAGCCATACAACCTCCTGCCAAAAATGAAAAAGATCGCTCAACAAACAATCAAGATATTGGCTTGTATCCATCTTAAGTGGGATACCCTGTATATGCTAACTTAACATATAACATGTTTTTTTTTTCTAATAACTGCTGAAAGTATTTAATGTTAACATAGTTACATTGATTTTTTTAGGTGGAGGTGCAATTGAGATGGAACTGTCCAAAATTCTGCGCGATTATTCCAGAACAATTGCCGGCAAAGAGCAGCTACTAATCAGCGCTGTTGCCAAAGCACTAGAAATAATACCGAGGCAGTTGTGCGACAATGCCGGTTTCGATGCGACGAACATATTAAACAAACTGAGACAAAAACACGCTCAAGGCCATTGTTGGTACGGAGTGGACGTCAGTAAAGAAGACATCAGCGACAACTTCGAGTCCTGTGTCTGGGAACCGGCCATTATCAAAATCAATGCTCTGACGGCCGCTACGGAGGCCGCCTGTTTGATTTTGTCGGTTGACGAGACCATCAAAAATCAAAAGTCGGCCGAACCACCTCAGATGGGAAGAGGAATGGGAAGACCCATGTGAAATACTTAATATGTTTTAAGATTTAGTTAGTCTTACCGTTATTTTTCACAAGTATTCTTTTCAGTATGTTCTTCAATTTTTTAATACTGAATTTAACATTTTATGTAACGCTCCTGCATTGAAGCTTTTTATAAACACACGCCTTGTATTAATTATTAAATTTGATGTTTCATTTACCTTTAACTTAATAATCCAGCTTATTTTACCAAGAGTTATCTAAATATACGTTTTTATAAAGTCCTTTTATATAAACGACATTTACAAAATGTAATAATAATTTAAAAGTAACAAAATATAGGAAAATAATTATTTAAACGAGTTTGGTTTGGTTTTGTTAACAAAAATTAAATAATAAAAAAAGTTAAATTTGTTAAATTAACAAAAGGTATATCACAGCCACCCTAGATTTTTTCAAATAGTAAAGATCTACTGACGCAAAATCATAAAAATTAAAATATCTAGGAAAATCTTTGTCTGACGGGTAGGCAAACTTAATAATATTTGGAAGATATTGAATTCTCCGTTGAACACCGAAATAATATACTGGGTGTTCCATTTAAAATAAAGGAGTAACATGCTTTTAAAAGTGACTAATGTTCCTTATTAATTTTGTCTCACCCTGTATAAATTTTCGGGTCAAATTGTAATTTGGCTTAACATACAATGGTTACTGTAATTAAATATCAGGCTATACAAAGTCAACAAAAATTTAAGTAGCTGTTATTGAAATTTAAAATTTACTCTTCATTTTCACAAAATGTGAAATATGTCAAAATCCTTTCATTTTAGTTATATCCTTCTTTAAAAAAACTCACATTTATTTTTTTCCTAGAATCCGAAAATCAATTAATATATAGTGTTCCATTACAAAAAACAACGTTGATGTGTAACTTTTTTTTTGGGACACCCTGTATCCTCTATAACTATATATTTTTATAAAATGCTTTCAGTTAACATACATATCGTCCCATTGCTGCCAAAAGTCACTAACTTACTTTTTATTACTTCCGAGAAAAATGCGTCTAAAAATGAATTGCATTGCATAAAGATGTTATAGTTAGTAACTATTCGGTATTAAAATAAAACATAAATAGCCAGAAATCTTAGTTAATGACTTTTGCAATCGATTCTCCGCTTCAAAACATAGTGATTGAATTTGGTTGTTCGAAAAAAAGGTTAGTTAGTGACATTTGGCAGCAATAGGACGATATATACTGCCAAAATTTCATTTCGATATAAACTACCGTTCTCCTTGGGGCATCCGCGTCGTATGAGAGGCGTCACCCTGTATAATTTTCCATATAAAATGCCAGTATGAATGCCAGCGACCTTCGTTCCCAAACCATCTTTAATTTTGTATTTTTCTTTCTAGTCTATGGCCATAGACAAATTAACAAAAGCTTTTGTTAATTTATCTATGTGTATGGCACAATATGATAGAAAAAACGGCGTCAGCGATTGCTATGAAATGAAGATTGCTGTCATTTTATATGTAAATTTATAAGGCGGACTGGCATCGATGTTAATTTCCAAGCCAACCGGACGCCGTTTTTTTTTTCTATCATACTAAGGGCTGGCAATTCCAATGGGATTTCCGTATGTAAGAAGAGTACAATGCGTTTATAATGCACTGAACAAAGAAAGAACAGTAAACACGTTGCCAAACGTACGAACTAAACCGAGCAACTGCGCATATTGCTAAGAGATGTGGAAGGGGACATAGCACATTTGTCTCAGTCCACCGGTCAGTGTTACCAGATTGGGCGATTTTCCGATTGCTCTGGCGACCTGAATTTTAGGAAAATCGCAAGTCGCCATTTGGGCGATTTTGGCTAAGATACTTATGGCACCAGTCAATCAATGCATTGCCAATATTGACTTAATTCTTGTAATTATTATAGACATCGATTCCCGAAACGGCGAAAATCGCAATTACATATTAGTAGATCAATATCCGAAGATATCGATTTATATTGCTCATCTATCAACTGGCGTTTGTGACTTCAGTTTAGTTCTCAGTAAGGTTCTCAGCACGTTTCTCTCTCCAATCTGCCATTTTTCCCCTTTGTGACGTCATCAAACCACTTAAAATATTAGTCATATTTTGAATGATAGGTATAATCTTTATAATGAAATAGTTGCTTGAGATTTTTGTAGGTTTAGTATAAAAATATTTGGCGACTTTCGCCACCTCTAGTGGCGACCAGCTAAAATAATATCTGGCAACACTGCCACCGGTCGACCTAATCAGTACCTCTGTCAGTACTTAAAGTTCTAGGGAAAGGTGTACATCATGCGTTCAGCTTCACGATTTGTTTATTTATTAACGAGTCATTGTAATTTTCCCTATAGCATGACAAATTTTAAGTGCAAGTTAGAAATACTTGCATTTTTGGTAAAACTAAGTGGAATTGAGTTGGTGTTCGACAGTGGCCGCGCTATTAGAACTCTGAATTCAAAACGAATCGATATCTCAAAATCTATTAAAAATAATTGATTGTAGTTTTTTCAAAAACTTTCTTAACGTTTCTGCTATATTTTCTTCGCAGACAGTATGTGAAAATCTTTATAAATAAAAAAGTTACACGATTGCTGAAAATTGCTATGCACTAAAAGTAATTGGATGGGTTGTTTAAAATTTTTGAATGGAAAAAAACAACCTTATCGAATTTTTCTTATTTAAACATATTGTAAAAGATCCGATTTTCAAAATAAAAAAAGTTTCAATATCTAAAGTGGTTCTTAAGTTATGGCGTGTTATGTGTTAAAAAGTTGAGTTTTTAAATTATCGCGATTACTGACTTTGTATCGTTATAAAAAATGGATACCCTATAACGATATCCTTATAATTCAATTTCAGATGCTCAGAAACATATCTAATGATTTTATCTAGTTATCTTTTCGAAAAAAAGTCGTTTAAAAATAATAAGCGGTTTGCGATCGTGATTTTACTCGTACGTGAAAGACATACCGGCAACGCCGCAACAGCACACCGTCGCATTTCTCTCACTCCGACTTAATAAGATCCTTATGCGATTTACTTCCACATATGTAAGTACCGACCCAAGAGTAACAGTTGCCAGCACGGTATGGTATTTGCATATGAATAGGTCAGGTAAAAATCTTTCAAAAAACTTACGACATATTAAAAACTAGTTTATTCTTAGGTACAATTTACAATAATTAAATGGTTTCATAAAAAATGTTTATCTTTATACATTATAACTAATTAGGTATTACCAGCTGCTTGATATAAATTATCTGCTAAACTGATAATTTCATCATATTTTTCACAATGACTCAGTAATGCCTTATTAATTGCCTCTTCACCCAGATACGCACCAGCAATTGCCCCGGCCATACAAGCTATTGTATCGGTATCTCCTCCTAAAGTCACTGCATACTGTATAGTCCGTCGAATAATATTATCAGTCTAAAATTCAAAATATTAGTTTTGGTTCTTATTATTTTTTCAATGTCATTGGGCAACCTCAATTTTTGGAATACAGCTCTGTGCTTTCAGGAAGCAAAATATAGCTGTTCCTACGGAATCATAAGCACCGATCCCATTTCCCAATGTGTAAATTATTTCATCTTCCAAATCGTCGTTATACTCTTTTTCTAATAATAGTTCGACTTTCTTTAATTTCTCCTGATAAGCTTCGGGCATATTAAACTCACTAAAAGAAAAAAAAAAGAAAATTAATCTTTTATCATTGAGGGGAAGGATCTTGAAACTACACTCAGATGCAAAAAAACGCAACAGAAAGAACTGTCATCAAATAAAGTGTTATATTTTTTAGACCAATTATCATGATTTTTTTTGGCAAACTGTATACCGGGTGCGTCTCAAAAGTGGCTCACCCCTATAACTTTTTTATTTTTTCAGATCAAAAAATGAGTTTTGGTATGTTAGTATATGACATAAATTTGGATTGATTGACGTACTCAACTGTTTTTTGTCACTTCCTGTTTCACAGGACATGACTACAACTTATAATTTTTAAATGGCACCCTCGGTATTTTTTTACTTTATTCGATAGAAAATTACACTCTGAATAGAATGACATATCATATGTCAACTTTTGACATATTCACTTTAAAAAACATCGTATTTTAAATTTCAATTTAGAGTGCCATGGCTGTGTTAAAAACACTAGTTTTTAATAAAGGAGCCTTGGTAAAATACATTTGATCGTCTAATGTTGTTAGTGTCTTGTCCTGGCTGGTTAAAAGATGTCCAAATCGTATTTTTAATTGAAGACACAAGTGGATAAAGGTGTTATGTAACATTTTTTCAAAAATGGCTTTTTTGGCTTGAAATTGACTCTTGGGACTAATATTTTCTATTGATACTTGAGTTATTTCAGAATTGTGATAAATAGGCGAGATTTTCAACCTATAAAGGTGTTATGTACCGTATTTCCGTGATTTTTCAATGGATAAAGGTGTCAAGGTAACATAACACCTTTATCAACTAAAATCCACCTAGAAAGCAGAAGGGTCTAACTGACACATGACACCCAAATTTGAGGTTATGTCAAATTTGGAATGATATTTTCTCAGTGTGTGTTCGTAAAAAGTGATCTAAGTGAATACTTTTATTGTTGAAATTCATTAAGGAATATGGATTCCAGAGGACTGTCTCGAGGAAAACGCATATTGTCCTTGCTTGATTAAACATAGGAACTTATGAATGAAAATATTGTATGTAAGCTGCCAAAAATTAAAAATAATTTGTGACCTGACGCTTTCTTTTCTTTAAAGACATATATTTTGCTTTACAGTTCTCGGTGGATAAAGGTGTCATGTACATTCAAATCAAATTTTTCCATCTAAATTAAAACTCTACAAACTTTCTACATAATCCTAAAAAATTGTATCATAATGATCGACGATATGCGCATAATGAATATTTGAAATTTTTTTTAAATAAAAAGTTCCGATTCAAAAACTTTAAACTCAATTTTCTCAGTAAAATGATTTTGCGACATGACACCTTTATCCACTTGTGTCTTCAATTATATCTCAATTTTTTCAAATGGAACGAGGGTGGCTCATTAGCATATTTGGAAAAAACATTTTTTTACGAATAATTTTGTACCGCAAACATCGTATTTCGAGTCAAATTGTCTTTATGAACTGCATGTTACAATTTCAAATAAACCATATGCGAAAATGTCAGAAGTTGATAAATTATATGTCATTCTATTCAGAGTGTCATTTCCTATCGAATAAAGTAGAAAAATACCGAGGGTGCCATTTAGAATTCAAAAGTTGTAGTCATTTCCGGTGAAACCGGAAGTGACTACAACTTTTGAATTCTTGAATTGAATACGTCAATCATCCTAATTTATGTCATATATTAACATACCAAATCTGTTTTTTTATGTGAAAAAATAAAAAAGTTATAGGGGTGAGCCACTTTTGAGACGCACCGGGTATACAGGGTGGTCCGAATTGTATTCCGAAAACTTCGGCAGCATATTCTGCAGATAAAAATAACTAAAAAAGTTTGTATAAATGTATGTCCTAAAATGTTTAGTTTCGGAGATACAGGGTGTAGAAATTTCATTTTTATTTCGACTTTTCCCAAATAATTTCTGAAGTAATATGTATAGAACTGCTGAGTGAAAAAATATTCATTTTCGTATATTTTTACGTAAAATAGACAATACACATAAACAACACATTACAATTACTACAATTTACATAAAAATGAAACTTCTACACCCTGTATCTCCGAAACTAAGCATTTTAGGACATACATTTATAAGAAGTTTTTTACTTCTTTTTATGTGCAGAATATGCTCCAGAAGTTCCCGGAATACAGTTCGGACCACCCTGTATACAGGGTATCCCAGAAATAAATGCAATATTTTAACTGGTAGTATAGTTCCACCCCAGAAACACGCCCATGATTTTTTTGCGAACAAAAATGTTGAAAATTTTATATCATTCTTGACATTTTCCGGAAAATATTTTGAGTGCCGCTTGTTCAATTTCCAATGCTGTACTAAATTTAAAATTGACAGCTGTTTGAATTTTGTACAAATATCATTGGTCTTTTTGACGTGTCGCTAACGGCAGACGATGTTCTGAGAACGGGGCTTAAGTTGACATAATAAGTTGACATTTTTAAATGTCGACAAAAATATACTTAAAAAATTTTTATTCTTTGTAGATTACTATTAGGTATAGTGCAAATTCTATTATTTGAAACACCTTTTTTACAGTTTAGTAAACTGAAATAATGAACAATTACAGCAGCTTTTTTCGTCTAGTATCGTTTCGTAGTATCTATTATCAGTTATCTTCCTCTTGAGTATTTACCTACTGTCCATCACTGTATGGTAGGTATATTTTTTTAACAATTTTAATCACTAATAACAATAAGTAAACCCATAAAACAAAACTGGAAAAGTGCAGAGTTTACTATGCTTTGTATTTTAAAATGTTTTAAATAAAATTAGAGTGCAATATAAAGCAGAAGTTAAATGAACCATATTAAAAGTTTCATCACGGTCACCCTACATTTATTGCTTTTTTTAAATTTAATATCTTTCATTGATACCCATTTTGAAATAGATATAATAATAAACAGGTACCTATCATCAGAATTATCTTCAATTAACTTAATTTTCTCCAACAAACAGGAACAGAACTCCTTAATATTGATTTTACTACTTGGATTAATATGAAGTGCTTGTTGAACAGCTATACACTGTAAAAGTGCACCATTAATACCAAAAATATTACTATGTGTTATTCGTGTAGCATCCCTAGCAACATTAATCATATTATTATAATCGCTAGAGTAATACAATGCTACAGGTGCTATTCTCATTGCTCCTCCATTCCCATATGATCCACTACCATCGAACTGTTCATTAGCTGGTTGATAAATATTTGTATATTTTGAATTCCTTAATTTTTCAAAAACAGCTACAACACTCTGCCCATATCCCCTTCGAGGCTCTTTAAAATATTCCGTAACAAAAAGTTTTGCCAAATAGGTAAAATCAGGTTCTGGTTTATCGATTAAAAATTTTGCCATGGATTTCATCATAGCAGTATCATCAGTATACTTTTTAAAAGGACCTGCAGACAAATAAATATTATTGTATTATTGAAAATTTGATTGAAAATAAACGGTGTCAAGTTGGCTTAACAGTGTCATAGGTGGCATTTCCATAAGATTTTACATATAATATAGTGATCATCATGTCCAATCTAACTCTGACGTCGTCTTTTTTCGATTGTAAAATGGATATGGATATAAAAACTACAATTATAATAATTGAAAATATATACTGTATGATCGAAAAAACGAAAAGGCATTATGTTGGCTTGGAATTGGAAATGACAACTGCTAATATTCCTAATAAGATTTTACATATTTCCAAGCCAATTCTGACTTAGTCTGACATAGTCTTTTTGAATTGATTTAAAAACTATAATTAGAATTCTAAAAACCTTTAAATTCGGGCTCTTCCATTTTGTCAAAATATCTCTGGATTATAATTTTGTCCCCGCTTGATATTTCATTTCCTTCATAAGGTGCCCCTAAACAGTCACCCATCAATGAACCTAATAAACATCCTCTAAACTTGCTTTTCATGATGTTTGGGTCCATTTTTCGACTAAAAGATCTGAAGAAAACGTACATATTTTAAGAACGGAGTGGAAACATAGAAATAAAGGTAATGGATAATAATCTTTTTCTGTTACCGAACCATCTTTACCGTCTACTAAAAAATTTTTAGACTCTTAATACTAAAGCAGACTAAAGATTAAAAAATCACGTACGGCCTAAACTTTTTGCCAGAGTAATAGGTATTTGAAGTTTTATATTTTAATTCAGGTATTGGTATGATTTATTGACGATATAGTTTATTGAAAATCAAACAAAATATATTTTTAACTTCAATTTTTAAATTTCTAGGATTTCTATTTTCTATCTCTCTATGTCCTAACCTCTCTTTCTTTGAGCCAAGACAAATAACTGTCATCTTTGACCGCCTTTTATTTTAAATTTGAATTCTATTTAGAGTTAATCTACCGTATGATCGAATAAAAACGGCGTCAGCGATGACTATGAAACGCGCTCTCATTTTATACGTAAAATTCTTATAAAATTATATGGGAAATGTCATCGATCGTCATTTCCAAGTCAAGGACGCCGTTTTTTTTCGATCATACGGTATAAACAAAGGATGCAGTGGCGGCTCGTGAGTATATAGGAAGATGAAGCTACATGAGGTTAATAATTTTGTTTAAATACGAAGTATTATCAAAGAGTAGATAATATTATTCTGCGATGCGTTTTTTTAATGGTACCAAACCTATTAGGTGTGGTACGCAAAAATCTACCTTGCCTCTTATATATATCGAGACATTTTACGAGATCGAGCATTTTTCAATAGTCAGCTGATGTAAACTACCAATGAAAACACACCCAAGCGCCAAATATCGCGCCTCAACCACGCCTCAACCCTGCGATCGAGAATATGCGTACCCCGTGTCGGCCGTCGCGTCACCGGCGTCACACATGATCTTAAACAGCGTTGTTACAAGGGCAAAAATTTTTGTACTATAAATGGTGTCAAAATTGTACTTTTTTAAGTGGGATTGTACATTTTTGGTGCAAAAATGTGGGGTCATGTGATCTCTCTATTTACCTTTTTACCAAGTTTTGGTACGTAGGGTGCATCCACACTATCCTAAAAACAGCGGAACGGCGTATTGGCTTAACGACCTTGAATCGATTTCCTGCAATTCTATTGGCTGAAATTTTTGCCAGGTGAATTTGACAGATGAATTTTTCAGCCAATAGAATTGCTGGAAATCGATTCAAGGTCGTTACGCCGATACACCGCCGCCGATCCGCTTTTTTTAGGATAATGTGGATGCACCCTCACAGAATTATACACCATATGCTGTCCTCCTTTTACGCAGTTGAGCAGCTCTGAACTGTTCAAGAACGCTATACTCTCCCTCCATTCAATTTAGTCATAAAGTTCAGAACTGGCTCCGCGCCATATGGAGGCACCAGGCTATCTCGCACAGCTCCTTTCAGAACCGTTCTGAGCAGCTCAGGGCTTAAAGCTCTGGAACTTGAAATTCGCAAATGGAGGAGAGCAATACAGAAGCTACAAAGAGCTTTGAATAGCATTGGTTAAATGGGAACTAATTGCGTGACGTCACGTTTGATATCGGGACACAATAGATCTCTAAGGTCGCAGTGATTAGCCCCCCTCCTACTCACCGCATGGATATCAAACTTACGTTTGACATCCGTGCGGCTTGAACAGCATTTCAAGTGATGTATAATTCTGTGCCTCTGCTCCTAGCAACCTGCATTTCAAATCTACGCATCGCGTATCACCGTTCGTCTAAAAATATGTACGTCGGTTTAAGTTTGGGTTTGAGAAGTAAGAATTGTACATATTTTCTTGCAAATGTACCTATGTACTCCTTGACTATCAAATGTACCCAAAATAGTACAATTGTACCTATTGTAACAACACTGATCTTAAATCGTCGCTACTTATAGGTAGGCAATTCGAACTTTCCAAGCTAGAATTGTTTCGCTTCTGGGTGCTGCTGTCGAGTCGCGTTCTTTTTGGCTGGGTTTATGCGGCTTATGTTGTGCCTGGACCTAGATGTATTAATAAAATATATATTTTTACTTTTATTATATTGAATGTGTTGTAGAATTGTAGTAAGTTATACTGTGATTAAACAAAAAAATAGGTACAAAAAATAAATCGTTCTTTCATTTTAAAGGTGAGACGCGGCCTCAGAGGCCTACCCTGACGAGCCGCCACTGAAAGGATGCATCGTGGGGCCTATAATAAAAAACGAAATTTTCGGCAGAACCTACAGTAGATTAGCCATCAAAACCTGTTAATCTATAATATATAGAGTTAATTTTATGAATGATTTTAATGGCGCCAGTACAATCTGGTATGCTAGCAAATTTAGATTGTGTGTGTAAGGCTACGTTTACACGATGCAAGTTTTGCTTGCGCAAGAACTTGATTGCAAGTACGTGCTTAATGTAAACTGTGTTTCAAGTAATTCAACTGATTGTACAAGAAAAATTACTTTGCAAGTAAAGTTGATCGACGGTCTACCCAGGGCCGGCGGAAGGAAAATATTGAGACCGGGCGAGTACCCTATCTGGTGCCCCCCTCCTTAACAGTTATTATAACTCTCTTTTTCCTTCAGTCCTAAGCATATGTATGCTACTTTAACAATAAATTTGTTTTTTCTACACCGCGCACCGGTCTCGAAAGTGACTCACTCCTATAATTTTTTTATTTTTTTAGATAAATAAACGAGTTTTGGTATGTTAGTATATGACATATATTAGGTTTGATTGACGTATTCAATGGTTTTTAGCCACTTCCTTTTTGACCGGAAATGACTAAAACTTTTGATTTTTAAATGCACCCTCGGTATATTTCTACTTTATTCTATTTCTAAAAGAAAATAACATTCTGAGTAGTTCAAATTTAGATTTTAAATCTTACGCAGGAAATATTTTAGAAATCTTAGGGTTTGTTTGGGTTAATCTTAATTATAACTTGTTAAATAAAAAGTTGAAAATTTTAGAGTTAAAAATGGAGGTCCACCTTTATTAGGTAGAAATGATCGATAAATGGTAGAAATGGTCGGTAAATTATTAAATATTAATCATATTAAAAAAATTGATTCTACACAGGTTCCTAAAATTTTACAATAATAATATTTTAATTATTTGGGATTGAAATATTTTAGTTTTGAACTGCATCATATTACCACTGAATCTCTATAAATATATTTTTATTTTCTTTATAACGGGATGGGTTTGCAAATACATAAAAGCTTGCCTGATAGCATTTTCCAGGTGTTCGACACTACTGTAGTTGCCAGGATAATATTTCATATTTTAAAAATTCCCAAATACAGAAATCGAGAACGGTCAAATCCGGGAATCAGGGCAGCCATAGCACAGGCCATAGTATGGTACCGTTGGTTCCAATTCATTGATTCCTAATTTTAAAGTTGTGAAGTGGAGCCCCATCTTGCTGAAAGTATATTTTACGTAAATTCGCCAAAGAAATATCTAAAAGTTCCGGTACGATAGCTACCAAGATTTACAAATAGCAGTAGATCGAGTTAAGTTTCCCTGATATATAAAGAATTTATTAGTGGCTCCCATAGTAAAACAAGAGACAGATAACAGTATACTTTTAATATTTCTTTAGTTTCTTTTTTTTTATCAATCATGTAACAAAAACAAGTAAATAGTGAAAATAAATATAGAGTGATATATATTTCTGAGAAGCTTATGACAAGCCAGATCATAAAATTTACAAATATACAGGGTGCTCCATTTAAAAAAATATATTTTAGTTCATATCTTTAAAAATATTCTTTTTGTAGAATAACAGACTACGCCACTGTATTCAACGTAAAAAGTTCTACAATAATGGCACAATAATGGTTTTCACTTTTCACCTTCTCGATACCTATAACAATAACAGAGACACGGGGGGTGTCTCAAATTGAAAAATTTATGTAAAGACCCTGTAGTTCAGAAACGAAGAGGAGTATGAAAATTTTGTTTACAGCATCTTCGCATCTTCCGTTTGGCAAAAAAGTGGGACAGGTTTGTGAAAACCGCACCCTTATTGTATCTTTCTAATAACGAAGATACCGTATGACATACCTATACGTATAATAATACCCTATGATCGAAATAAAACGGCGTCCAGTTGGCTGGGAAATGACAATCGATGAAATTTCCCATATAAAATGACAGCGATCTTCATTTCATAGCTATCGCTGACGCCGTTTTTTTTCGATCATACGGTATATATTACACCCGTATGATTTCAACCAAAATGGGACACCCTGTACACTGTACACCTGCCTTTTAATCAACTTTTATATCTTTGCATGAATTGTTGATTAGCTTAACACGCAGGGTTCAGAAAATTACATGTTACTCGTAAAAACTACATAAACTACATTAAATGTAGTTAATCGACGTAGATAGTGTAGTTTTAAACTATAGTTTGCAAATATCAAAGACTTGAGGCAGGTTTAGGGCGATAAAAAGTTGAAGATGAGTCAAATTTTTAGAAAACAGAGAAAATATGACTTTAAACATAGCATTTGCGTCAAATACATTATTTATACTCAGAGGAGAATGATTAACTGATGACAATATTATAATTCCCAAGTTGAAAAATTATAAAATATACTTCCTACAAAGTCTTGACAAAGATTACTGACTAGGGTGATTAAAATCTTATTATATTTTTATTTTATATTTGGTTACTTTTGTTTGAGATTTTGTATTTTATAATAATTTTAATATATTGTATTTCCTCCATTACATTCTGTTTTTTATGTGAGTTAATAATTTTTTACTAAAATAAATAATTTTTGACTTAATGTTTCATCAAAATTAACATTTTTATTGGTAATCACAGTTGGTAATGGTGTGGATCCGGTGGCTGACCTTGAAACGAGTTTTTGTTGCATATAGTCACATACACTACGCATGCGCATATCTTCGATGTTGCCAGATTGCAAGTTATTTTGGAATTATTTTCAGTAGAAAACAAATATGTGCTTTTCAGTGTTTTTTTTTGTCAATATATACCGTATGATCGAAAAACGGCGGCCAGTTGGCTGGGAAATGACGATTGAGGACATTTTCCATATAAAATGACAGCGATCTTCATTTCATAGTCATCGCTGACGCTATTTTTTCAATCATAGTACGCGGTATATTATTTATATTATTATTTTAATATTTCGCACAACACGTGAAACGTGAACGCTTATTATGTATTTTCATAGTAAATAAAATTAAATAGAAATAAAACTCTAGATTCCTATAATTAATCTAATTGCTCTAGATTATTATGCTACGTTTCAAAAGTGCTTTATTAAAAATTCGGGAAATTAAAAGAGATATGTGTCCTAGTTTTTTCTTTTTTTTAAATTTTTAAATGCCGTTGGCTGTAGCTCCATGTCATGTTTTTAATAGGTTTTTTTTAACATTCCATCAAAACTACGGAGGCCTTAAAAGGCCTTTTAGCCTCCGTAATTATAATTGTAGAACCAGCTTCAGCAACATTTACAGTTACCTTGTTCAATTCTGCTTATACATATATTGCATTAATTTTTCTGTTACCTTAAGATTTCTCTATTCTTACACCTAATTTATGTGATTTTCTTAGCATAATATGATTTATAAACCATATTTTTCCTAATGGAAGGATGGAATAGGATATACAAGATTAAGATATTTTAACATTTATTTTCCAGAGCATAATATAGTATTAAGATTAAGACATAACAAATATTATAAGAAAGATCTTTAATATAAATCACAAACTAATTACAAACTAATCTTAAGTTGGTCTTGTATAAACATTGTTAATCTAAGGTATAAACACAGGTATAAAACCTTTTATAAAAATAATAAGATCAAAACTCAACCTTCACCATATTGTCAAGATTTGGCATTATAGGATACAAGAAATTACAGTAAATTAAGAAAAGAATATAAGTAATGTATTCTACGACACAAACCATCTCCCTTCTAACGAGAAAAAGATTAAACATAAAGCTTATGTTAGTCTTATCAACACACTCTTCGTAAAATTGCTATTAATCCACTAACTTGATATTTTTAAGAAATTATGATAGAAACATTATAATCAAAGTATATTATAGGTATTAGTAACATTATAGGTAAAATGTTACCTCTATATCTCCCATTGACGTGTATTGTTTTATAAGACTCGTCATGGTAGTATTTCAAAACATATCAATACATATAATCAAAACTATTGTTGCCTGTAAATAACTAGAAATTAAATAACTTGAAAGAAATAAAATAATTCTAATAAGTTTAAAACCATTAAGAAAAAATCCGTACATGATAATTTTTAATTCTAATGTAAATATATAAATAAATGTTATTATTACAATTTTATATATTCATAATACTTTCATTTTACAATCTTTATTATCCTTCTTACCTTAATTTTGGATATCAAGATAAATCTGAAATTATAAAATTAATTATAGAATTTGTATTATTACTGATAAACACTCAAAAAAAAATTTTTCAACTGCAAATAATTCGAAAATAAACTGCAATTTGGCAACATCGACGATGTGCGCTTGCGTAGTATCGATGATCAAATGCAGCGAATATGGGTTTCAAGGTCAGCCATCGGATCCACACCTTTACCTTTTTATTTATATAATTGTTTTTCTATCGTAATATGTAGTTTATTAAAGTAGTTTTCATGTAGTGAATAATCGATAAAAGACGTAGCTTTTGCAGCAAAACTACATGTAGTTAATCAGATAAATTACGTCTTAATTCACTACTTCCGAACTCTGGTTACACACCCATCCCTGAAAAGGAAAAAAAGGCAACAGTGTCAAGCGGTCAACTGCCAAATGTCAAATAAGTCAAATTAGCATTTTCCATTTTTTTTACGGTTTCAGCCAGCATCAATACAGAAACATATTTATTGCTGAAATTAAGAATTTGTGGTAGTTTTTATCTTTTACATCCAAATATTTGGTAACCCGTAATCAATTATGTCGAAGAGAAGAATAGAAGTAGGAGATCCGTTCACGAAAAAGAAAAAGTAAGTGTTTGCCACGAGGTTTTGGATTTTTTTTTGTAGCACATCTAGATTTTATGTCCATCATTTTGATTTTACATGTATCACTTACATTTTTTGTTTTAAGGGATGAAAAAATTGTGCCAGGGGCAAGTGTTTTTCCTCAGGTTGTGGCTAGTTCTGTAAATACATTCACAGGTTTGCCTTACACCCAGAGATACCATGAGTTATATCGTAAAAGAATAGGACTACCGGTTTTTGAGTATAGAGCTGATTTTATGCGTCTATTAGCTGAACACCAATGTATTGTATTAGTGGGTGAAACTGGTTCAGGAAAAACTACTCAGATTCCACAGTGGTGTGTTGAATATGCTCGAGCTGTTGGCCAAAAGGGGGTATGCTGTACTCAGCCCAGAAGAGTAGCAGCAATGTCTGTAGCTCAGAGAGTTTCTGAGGAAATGGATGTTGGTCTTGGACAGGAAGTTGGTTATAGTATTCGTTTTGAAGATTGTTCTTCTGCGAAAACTATTTTAAAGTAAGTATTCAATTAAGATTTTTTTTATAATTAGTTTATTATTTTTTGCATAATAATGCTAAATCTTGACATTTTTTTTACTTACTATTCATTAACAATAATTATCTTTGATCTTAACAATTTTTTTAGTATACCGGGTTCGTCTCAAAAGTGGCTCACCCCTATAACTTTTTTATTTTTTTAGTTAAAAATCGAGGGTAATTTGGTATGGTAGTATATGACATAAATTAGGATTGATTGACGTATTCAATTGTTTTCCCATAATTTCCCACAAATTTGACACGAAATACCAAGTGTGTGGTATCAAATTATTTGTAAAAAAATGCTTTTTCCAGATATGAGCCACCCTCATTCCATTTGAAAAAATTGAGATATGATTAAAAATACAATTTGAGCATTTTCTAACTAGCCAGGACAACACATTAAAAACATTAGACGATCAAATCTATTTTTCCAAGGCTCCTTGGTTAAAAATTAGTGTTTTTGACACAGCCATGACACTCTAGATTCAATTTGAAAGTACAAATTTTTAATAAGCGAGAATGTCAAAAATTGACATATGATATGTCATTCTATTCAGAATGTCATTTTCTATCGAATAAAGTATAAAAATACCGAGGGTGCCATTTACAAATCAAAAGTTGTAATCATTTCCGGGAAAACAGGAAGTGATAAAAAACAATTGAATACGTCAACCAATTCTAATTTATGTCATATACTAACATATCAAATTTCGTTTTTTTATCTGAAAAAATAAAAAAGTTTAGGGGTGAGCCACTTTTGAGACGCACCCAGTATATAGAAATAACGTTATTTTATTGTATTTATCTGTATCTGTTAGGTGTAATTGTATATATAAACAGAATTCCATACCATTGAGAGACATCCTGCCCTTTAATTTCCGGCCAGTTAGCTTTAATGACGTTGATACATTTATATCTGATTTAAAAAATAGTAATAGCAAGGATCCAGATGGAATAAACACAAAAATTATTAAAAGAATAAAAAATATATTAGTTCGGCCTTTAGCGCTATTAATAAACCAATCTATAGCTTGCAATATATTTCCTAAGGTTTTCAAGACTGCAAAGGTGGTTCCCCTCTTTAAAAATAAGGGTTCAGTTGATGACTGTAACAACTATCGCCCCATATCTTTGCTGCCAATTTTATCTAAGGTTTATGAACGTATTCTAAAGAATCAAATCAATGAACATTTTGAGTTTAATAAACTATTCGCCATTAATCAATTTGGTTTTCGAAAAAACAAAACCACAACATTAGCGATTGACAGGTTTACCAGTGGTATATTGGAAGGGTTTGAGAGGTGGCTTGATACTCTTGCATCATTTTTAGACCTTACCAAAGCTTTTGACTGTGTTACGCACATCATATTGTTAAAAAAATTAATATCCTACAACTTTCAGGACGATGCTGTTCAATTACTAAAGTCATACTCTCTGACCGTGATCAATATGTTTCATTTCAACCAATGCAACTCAGAAAAACAACCCCTGAAGTATGTTGTACCTCAGGGATCTGTATTAGGCCCCATCTTGTTCCTTATTTATATAAACGACCTAGCATACTGCCAGGGAGGGGGAGTCAACACTGTTTTGTTTGCCGATGACACAACCTTTTACATAAGTTACCACCCCTTAGAGATTGACAATCTTGATTATCACACTTCACTAGAAAACCTAAATCAATGGTTTCTAGCTAACCGTCTATCTTTAAATCACTCTAAATCGCAAAGTATGAACTTTACTCTAAGAAACAATATTAATTTTGATCACCCTGTACTTCATCATTGTGCAACAGAAGCCAAGTTTCTTGGGGTGCACTTAGACACAGGACTGACCTGGGAGAACCACCTTGTCAACCTGTCAAAAAAATTATCAAAAGAACTTTTCCTGTTTAGAAATCTTGTGCAGATAACCTCAAGAGAAACTCTTCTCACAGTATATCATGGCAACTTTCATTCCCATCTGACTTATGCTATTCTTTGCTGGGGTCATTCTTGTCATGTCAATAAGGTTTTTGCGCAGCAGAGGAAGTGCGTGCGTATTATTGCAGGGGTGGGTTACAGGGAGGATTGTCGTAATTTATTTAAAAAATTTAAGATTTTAACTTTGCCCTGTGTGTACATTATGCAGTGTTTGTTGTTCGTCAAGCAAAATCTTGATCTATACAGGTCACATGAATATTTTCACAGCTACTGTCATATACTAACATATCAAATTTCGTTTTTTTATCTGAAAAAATAAAAAAGTTTAGGGGTGAGCCACTTTTGAGACGCACCCGGTATATAGAAATAACGTTATTTTATTGTATTTATCTGTATCTGTTAGGTGTAATTGTATATATAAACAGACTATTATATCTTGTAAAATTAATTGATATTCCAGAAAGTACTGTATGATAGTAAAAAACGGCATCCAGTTGGCTTGGAAATGAACATCGATGACATTCCTCATATAATTTTGCAAATAAAATGACTGCGATCTTCATTTCATAGCTATCGCTGACGACAACTGTATTTTTTACTACAACGCCACTGACTCCCAATGGGTAAATTGGAGAGTTGCCTATCGGTCAAAGCTGGGTCGTTTCAAGACTTAAATGGATTATTTAAGTCAAATTTCTTGCAAATTTGGCGCTGGCAAACCATATTTTATAGTTCTTGAACAGAAAAAGTCAATAAAATAAACACTTAAGGACTACAAGCCAAGAAAAATGCGTTAATACAGCCGGGGAGATAGCGGCAACAGAAGCTTTACTGCACACGTGCGACACGTAATACAAGGTAATAAAATGAATGAATAGGCTCCCCATCTTCATTTCATAGCTATCGCTGACGACAACTGTATTTTTTACTATTTTATTATTTTTATTTGAATGTAGCATTTTTTCCAATTTTACACCATCATGTTATGAGATTGTAATATAAGCAAAAATGATGTATAATATATTTTTTTATTGACAGTAATACATTTATGTTCAATTTTACTTAACAATAATCTTAACCTATTACAATAAATTTAATAACAATTTTTTCTAAATACACCTAGGTGCAAAAAGCATCAAATTTATGATTTCAGTCTAATAATTATTTAGTCAGGTATTGATAATTTCGGTTCCAAACATCTCGAGAACCACTCCTCATAGCGATTTTTACCAAGAGACATTTTTTTAAGAAAAAAACGTCGTAAATGTATACATTTTACCCAGTAGTTTTATACAGGTACGGATGAAAAGTTATTGCTCTTCAAATCGGTTAAAAAATATGTAGGTGGCGCCCTCTACAAATAGGAGCCATTGACATCAAAATCAAATTTCTCATGTCAAAAAACTCCCAGACACCAATTTTCACCCAAATATTGACTATTTCAGAAAACTTTTTCATTTATTTTTATCTGCAGAATATGCTGCCGAAGTTTTCGGAATACAATTTGGACCACCCTGTATATATTTTTATTTTTCTGAATCAGATTTCAATTTGGGTTTAAGAAAACAGTCCTAAAGATTGCTATGTCAAATCTTTAAATTATAATAAAAGAATAAACATTTTAAATGACCTATCAGAGTTTTTGACTTATTTCTTTATTTATACATTATACAATTAAAAAAAATACAATACTACAATTAAATATATTTTATTTAGATACATGACTGATGGTATGTTACTTCGTGAAGGAATGAGTGATCCCATGCTTGATGCCTACCAATGTATACTGCTTGATGAAGCCCACGAGAGAACGCTGGCTACAGATATATTAATGGGCGTTTTGAAGGAGGTAATAAAGCAACGCAAGGATTTAAAGCTGGTTATTATGTCAGCCACACTCGACGCCGGAAAATTTCAACAATATTTTGATAATGCACCACTGATGAATGTTCCGGGACGGACGCATCCAGTAGAGATATTCTACACTCCCGAACCGGAAAGAGATTATTTGGAGGCGGCAATTAGGACAGTGATTCAAATTCATATGTGTGAGGAGATTGCAGGTGAGGTAATTTAATTCTAGATCAAATAAACCTTTGTGTTTAAAGAATCGTAGAAATCGTTCGACCAATAGTTGTCAATACCTGGTGCGTCTCAAAAGTGGCTCACCCCTCTAAATTTATATTTTTTCAGATAAAAAAACGAGATTTGGTATGTCAGTACAAGACAGAAATTAGGATTGATTGACGTATTCAGTTGTTTTCGGTCACTTCCTGTTTCACCGGAAACGACTACAACTTTTTTCATTTTTAAATGGCACCCTCGGTATTTTTTTACTTTATTCCATAAAAAAAAACCATCTGAATAGAATGACATATCATATTATGTCAACTTTTGACATTTTTGCATATGGTTTATTTGAAATTATAACTTGCGGTTTGTAAGCAAAATTTTACTCAAAATACCAAGTGTGTGGTATCAAATTATTCGTAAAAAAATGCTTTTTCCAAATATGCTAATAAGCCACCCTCGTTCCATTTGAAAAAGTTGAGATATGATTAAAAATAAGATTTTGAGTATTTTCTAACTGGCTAGGATAAGATCTTAAAAACATTAGACAATCAAATCTATTTTTCCAAGGCTCCTTGATTAAGAATAATTAGTGTTTTTAACATAGCAATGGCACTATAGACTGAATTTTAAAATACGATTTTTTATTAAGCAAGAATTTCAAAAGTTGAGAAATAGTAAAAAAAATACCGAGGGTGCCATTTAAAAATCAAAAGTTGTAGTCATTTCCGGTGAAACAGGAAGTGACCAAAACAATTGAATACGTGAATCAATCTTAATTTATGTCATATACTAACATAACAAATCTCGTTTTTTATGTCAAAAAGTAAAAAATTTATAGGGGTGAGCCACTTTTGAGACGCACCCGGTATGTTCATTTTTGCTCCACTTTTGTGATATTTTTGTTATATTTATCTATTTTTTATTTTCACTTTAGCAGAAAAAAATAAAATTGGTTTTGTAAATACTGACCATTCTTTAATAGTACCAAATGAGTAGTACATGTTTTATTTTGCAATGAAGTAATAATTATACCTAATTTTATAGTAACAATTATGTTTTACAATATTTTTAATTAATTCAAGTCATAAATATATTAATCAACGCGTTTGGTAGCATCTTTTATTTGGTTGCTCCTACAGAATTGAATTTAGTTGCTTAGTTACGATTCTCCCTTGATTTATTCTGGATTTGATCTCTTGGGCACTTAAGCCTTCACTAGTGATTATTGAGCCGATATATTTGTATGTGTTTACATTCTTAACTGCACCTTTTTGTATATGAAGATTTTTTGTACATTTCCAGCTATAATATATTCAGTTTTATCAGTATTTATGGTGATGCCCCATTTGTCATACTCTTCGTCTCGTTTTCTAAGCATATAATGCACATCATCTTCATCCTCAGTGATAATAACCTGGCCATCGAAATTTAGTGTAAATAGTTCCTCTCCGTCTATTTCTATTTCCATATAACAGCACATACGCCTCCATCGTCGTTAGTTAGAGCTATCAGGCATTCTTGGTGAAGCCCTTTTAAGCGGGAAAGGTTCTGATATTCTGTTACCAATTTTAATATTACTTGACATGTTCGTATGAAGCCCTTTAACTGCTTTAATATTTTAATTAATAGTTCTTACTACTAATTTCAATGTTTTTTATTGTGTATGGGATACCCACTAACACATTTTTTTGGAATAAAACTTATTAAGATGCGTTTTCTTATTACATTCTATAACCAGCACATACCCTAACCTACATTTTTTCATATACTTATTAAATAATTAAATTAGATAACCTTCAGATTAAATCGATGTGTTTCTGATCTTGTCTTGATTAGTTTCAATTATTATGGAAGACGAATTTATATGTCGTCAAAAATTAATCATTAAATTTAACTTTTGGTTTGTTTTAACGCTAGTGATATCAACCGATAAATATTTGAATTTTAAAATTTCTTCTTAAATTTAGAGAGCGGATTTAGAGAGGGATTTTCCCGGATATCTAACCCTAAAATTTCCCCCTAACCTAACCAGACGGCTGGCTACCCTAGTTTACTTACATATTAATAATAGTATATTGTTTTATTAGCAGTAAAAATGACACTATTTGTGTCGAGGCTGTACGTTGACAGCCGAGGCACAAAAAGTCATTTTTACGCCAAGTAGAACATGCTATTTTTTTCAAACGCCACAAATAATTTTTAAACAATTTCAAACCTTCCAAATATTATAAAAAGGTTTAAAAAAAGTCATACCTTGTATGTAATTATACAGAAAGGTCCACAGACTTCGAGACATAGGAAAAATCAAGTCCATTTAGCGTGTGTCGCAATTTTCACACCTTAAAAAATTAGTTTTTATAGCTATAGCAACTGCAGCGACTGTGAAAAAAGCTGTGTGAGAAAAGAGCACCATTCATTTGAGAATGTTATAAATTAATAAAGAGAATGTTATATAAATCGCTAAAAGAGGTTTCAAATCTCTTGGATTTCTATTAATATTAAATAAATTTTATTAAAAATTGAACTAAAATTGTTAGTATCATTAAAATCAATTCAAATTCAAAAATTGTATCAGTCAAATTCCCTCATTTAAGGTGGATATTAAAGTAAATATAAATACAGCTCATTCTACGCTCTACTTACCTTTAAGAAAAATTTAAATCATCGTGCAATTGGGCCTTAATGCCATTTTGAATGAATAATATTATTAATAATGTACATTATAATAATAATAAATTTTATATCATAGTGTGTATTAAAACTACTAAAACATTTTTAAATTGGTATTATATTAACATCTTTTGTTTTTTTAATCCAAAAAAATAAAAGTAAGAAATTTCTCAATCAAAATATTTGCGGTCCTGAAAAGGACCTTTGTTTTCTCATGTTCTTAAAGGTAGGTAATGGGTAAAGGGTGAAAAAACAGGATAATGAAAAAATTACAAAAATTGTTCAAAAATGCCTCCCTCTGGCATTAAACAATAGCCCAAACGATCATAAAATCCCCTCTCCTCACATTGGATAACATATCAGGGGTGACAGTGTCAAAGGCATTAAATATTTTCTGCCTTAACTGCTTCAAGTTTTAAATTTCTTCATGGCTGTAAATTTTAGATTTTATGTACCCCGATAAAAAAGAAACCGTTCACCGAGCGGTCAGGTGAAATTAAACCATAATTAAACGTCAGTCTAAACAAAACTGTCATTTTTGAAAACTTGTCAAAATTTGATCACACGCTAAATGGACTTGATTTTCCTATGTCTCGAAGTCTGTGGACTTTTCTGTATATCGAGAAACTATGGTTAGGCTCGTTGAATTTGACACTTTGTCAGTTTAATAATATATTTTCTTACCTTTATGTGTAAAAGTGCTTTACTTTTATGCCTAGGCGTTAAAATGACATTTATATTGTCAATCACGTCGCAAAAATGAATGTTTTTGTGACGTTTGAAAAAAAATATATATTATTTCATGACAGCCTACATAAGATTTTTGCTGATACCTGTTTTAAGATCTAGTTTTGATATAGTTTTATTTTGGTTTAGGAGACGTATTGTTGTTCTTGACTGGGCAAGAAGAAATAGAAGTGGCGTGCAAAAGAATTAAACGAGAAATAGACAATCTCGGCCCGGAAGTAGGCGACCTCAAATGCATTCCTCTATATTCCACTTTACCCCCAAACCTCCAACAGAGAATCTTCGAGGATCCTCCGCCAAACAAACCGAACGGCGCTATCGGTCGCAAAGTGGTCGTCTCGACCAACATTGCCGAAACTTCCCTGACTATTGACGGAGTGGTGTTCGTAATCGATCCAGGATTTGCCAAGCAGAAAGTCTACAACCCCAGAATTCGTGTAGAGTCTTTGCTGGTGTCGCCTATAAGTAAGGCTTCGGCGCAGCAAAGAGCCGGTCGCGCCGGAAGAACGAAACCGGGAAAATGTTTCAGGCTGTATACGGAAAAGGCTTTCAAGCATGAGATGCAAGATAACACATACCCGGAAATTTTAAGGTAAGTGAATGGAATACAGTACAGTGTTTGTATTTTATTTTTGATCCACCTTAAACAGGCTATAACTTTTATATTTTGTTTTAGAACATTTATTAAAAATAATTTCTAGTTTTTTTTCAAGATTTATGTATTACCAAAAACGGCATGTACAGTCAAAATATTCTAATATAAATTGAAGGGTCCAAGGGGAAAACATGATAAGCACCATTTTACTAATTTTACGAGATTTGGCTTGTTAGTATTTAACATAAATTAGGATTGATTGACGTATTCAATTGTTTTCGGTCCACTTCCTGTTTCACCGGAAATTATGACAACTTTTGATTTTTAAATGACACCCTCGGTATATTTTTACTTTATTCGATAGAAAACGACACTCTGAATAGAATGACATCAAATTTTGACATTTTTGCTTAAAAGAAAATCGTGTTTTGATTTCCATTCTAGAAAGCCATGGCTATGTTACAAATACTAATTCTTAATTAAGGAGCCTTGGAAAAATAGGTTTGATCGTCTAATGTTTTTCATATCTTGTCCTGGCCGGTTAAAAGATGCCCAAATCGTATTTTTAATTTTAATCATATCTTAATTTTTTTAAATGGAACAAGGGTAGCTTATTAGGATATTTGGAAAATGCATTTTTTATGAATAATTTGATATCACACACTTGGTGTTTTGAGTCAAACTATCTATAATTTAAAATAAACCATATGCAAAAATGTCAAAAGTTGACATATGATATGCCATTCTTTTCAAAGTGTTATTTTCTATTGAATAAAGCAGGGTTGGCATGATTTAAATCAAATGATTTAAATCATGATTTAAATCGTGATTTAAATCAAGTGATTTTTTTAATTTTATGTGATTTAAATCAAAAAATTAGTTTTATTGAAACTTTATAATAAATAAAAAAATAACTGTAAAAGTTATAAAAATCTATCCTAGAAAACTATCAAAAATATTTCTATAACAGATAATAAATCGAAAAATAATTGTAAATTTTATAAAACTATATAAAAATATCTATTCATCAATTTAAATGTTGAACCGATTTTTGAAATAATTTCGTGTGAATCCATAAGACCGCTAAACGCAGGAATTTATTTTAAAATTTACTTATAGTGACAAAAATTCGCTTTTCGAATACATATTATTTTTTCCAACCCTGGAATAAAGTAAAAAAATACCGAGGGTTCCATTTAAAAATCAAAAGTTGTAATTATTTCTGACATTGTTATTGGTTTTGACACTTTAGTTTTGTTTTACGAGTTTTTGGTTTAAATAAATAGTGTTGTGACACTTTAAGCTTGAAAATGTTTACTAGCAGACCTTGCAGTCCAACATTGTTCATTTTAGAACCTCTTTTAGTGTGAAGTGTACAAGAAAGCTTAATAGCCGTAAAAAAACTCATTGTAACTTTATTAGAATATTTTGAACTGGAAAGCGGTAGTAATCGCCCTTTATGTCCATTAAGGGCTGTTGTGTGAGTTTTGATATTGTAAATAAGTGGTTATATATTTATAATTAATTTATTTTTGTTTCTTAAAATATTTTGATTAAAGGAAAATATATAAAAGTGGGCAATGCTGTACCGGTCAAGCTTAATCACGTGACTAAAAGTTTATTTAGTATTAACTGTATATCATAATAATAATAGCTCCCGTATATAGCGTTTAACGCCTTGGGAGTAGCAAGGTACAGCTTGCTATACTAGAGCCGTTCAGTATACAAGGAAGGTAATGTGGCTAGCACTACGCTTCAACCGCCTATTATTACCTCAGGATTGTGAATTCCAAGTACTCATTTAAGGCTGACTCGACCTAGGTACCCAAACTATTTTTATTTTAATAAAAATAGTCGGCTTATGAAATGCCGGGTGTGGGAATCGAACCCACACCTTGAGTTTGGTAGACGAGAGCCTGTACCTCTACGCCACCGGGCACCACTGTATATCAATTAACATAAAAAATGTCAGCGACTTACATTTTCAAACCGTTTTGTTTTTTATGGTATTTCAAATCGGCATTTTAACGCTAGACTTGTCTAGAACTTTAATTGAAAAACAAATTATCGGAGTTTTAGTTATATTTTTTTTGTATGTATTTTTTTAACATTTGTCGATATTTTGCTTCTTAATTCTGATCAGCTATCCTCATTTGATTGAAACATTGCAGCATGTTCCATGCTTGCAATATTAGCATATTATTGCGGACCCGTGTGGACTCGGCATAACCTAACTAACTAAAATGTCCCGCTTCCATATGACCTTAATATCGCATTAAAGAATAGACACCATAATGATTCATTCGAACGTTCGAAAACAATCGAGTTCCACTGGAATGGAGTAGTACATACGAGAACATTCGAAACCTTCTCTATGCACTTAATGATCTATGAATTATTCTTGAATTCTTTAGCTGTGGGTATCCGACGGCTGAGGCCTGAAGAGGACAGAAATAAATAGACGAGTACAGTTGTCGCGCTAAATTTAAAAATAAATTCTTTCTAGATAAATATTTCTTAGTCTTTTAACCGTTATTGTTTGTTACTTAGTGTAAATAAATTGTGACTTTCTATCCACACGGAACCGACGAAAAACGTAGCAATATTGATATTTAAAATAGCTACATATTGGCATATGCATTTATTTTTGACTTGTGATTTTACTTAGTTTTAATTTACGATTTTCAGATCAAATTTGGGTTCGGTCGTCCTCCAGCTGAAGAAACTGGGTATCGATGATCTGGTTCATTTCGACTTCATGGATCCTCCAGCGCCGGAAACGCTTATGCGAGCTTTGGAACTGTTGAATTACTTGGCAGCGCTAGACGACGACGGCAATCTGACCGATTTAGGGGCGGTAATGGCCGAGTTTCCACTAGATCCGCAACTGGCTAAAATGCTGATCGCCAGCTGTAATCACAATTGTTCCAATGAAATATTATCTGTTACTGCCATGCTGTCAGGTATTTATAATATTAATTAGGATGCGAATGGGAAAGTATTCAATATGGGATGTATTGGTGTATGGTTTTGTTATGGATTTATAGTTATTATATAGTTATGGATTTATTTATATAATCCATTACACTTCTAAACGGTAGAGATCTATTTTGAAATTGTGAAGTGCCAGAAATCCGGTATTTGAATACATTTTATTCGCAAACTCTAGTGCAGGACTAGTTTCTTCTGATGTCAGGTTATATTTTTATTCCCGAGGACTAATCAATGTCAAAAGATAAGCTGGAGTCAAGGCTGTTTTATACTTTTTTGAAACAGCTGAATGTTGATCAAGCTAACTTCCGCCTTCTTTAATTTATCTTCTAGTTCATTTCAAATTTCTACAGACATTTTGTTCTGCAATAATTACTTTGCACTTTGAACATTAGATGGAACTAATTTTATTCTCGATTTAAAAGACAGTCACCATTATTTCCAAAAAAAAATCCCTTTAAATAGGGGCATCGGCAAAGTTTACACAATAAAATATATCAGCGACCGATGTGGAAAAACCGCACGCGCCGTAATGTTAATATTGTCAATATCGGGCAGAGTTACAAAGATTTAGACATTTAGGATAGGACCTTAAATTGAACATTGATTAAAATAAAAAAAATCCGATTAAAATAAAAAAAATCGATTTTTTTAATTTTTTTAAAAAAATCATGATTTTTTTGCACCCTGTTTACAATTTAATATGCGGGGTGCTTTATTTGATATAGTTAAGAGAAATACATTTAGTTTTTAGTGTCTTTGTATGTACATATGTTATTAAAGTGATGTAGACTCTGTACAACGAGGTAAGAGACGATTTCGACTGATGTTATGCAGAAATTCTCAGAAGAAAAACATAGCCTTTGAATTAAAATTACAGATTGCCAGACATAGCATTTTTTCAAGGTTAAATAGAAAAAGTTTTTTGCAAAAAAAGTTGTGCTCATTGGTTGCTCATCACTGCGTAAAAAGACAATATTTACATTTTGATAACCTTCAGTTTGAGAATGTTTGTGATAATGTTGTGTGTATGATTCTGTATGCAATCGAGTTCAATGCAATGTATTTGAAATTTTTAATTTAGAATTTTATTTATATGAATCGTAAAGGGTTATACTTCATTTTTATTGTATTTGATCTTTTATGCATATGTTATGTAAAATGTAGAATGTATGGGAGGGGGGTGAATCACCGCCACCGTACAGATCTGTTATATGATCTATTTATGCATATGTTATTATTCATATTTTTATTTTGGGTATAATTTGATAATTACGAACTAATTCTATTGATTTAATTTGTTCTCTTGTTTATTATTTGGTATAATAATAATTGGTTCTAATTCTATTTTTACAGTTTAATTTTTTTCAGTTTACAAAAAAAATAATCCCAGTTTTAAACTCAAATTAAATTAGAGGTACATAATATTTTTTTTCTAGTTTATTTTACAATTTTTTGTGCCTATCTATATATTTCTAGCTTAATGAAATTAGTCAAATTGCCTTTGAGCTTTTGAAGCACTAATATTTGTAGGAAAATAATTTATTAATGATTTTAAACTTATTTTTTAAGTAAATTTGGTTAGTTCTTTATTATGTTTTTAAGATTTAATACCAGTAAATTCTGGTTTAACATATAATGTCACTTTTCAGCTACCTATTAATTAATGGAATTCTTTTGTACTGAACTTTTTGCATTTCAAAAGTTACTGATATAGTGGTGTTTGTCGTCTTTGTCTAAGAGGATTATTTTCTGAGAAATCAGAATTTATTGAATGTCTTTATTATGATGCATTTTCTTATAATATATAACTATTTATGATAAATGATCTAAAAATAATATTAGAAGGTATTTAGGTTCTAGTACAGTAAGTCTTAAGCTTGATTTTCATGCATCCGTTGTCCGACGATACGATGATACGATATTAATTTCATTGGTTGTATTTAAAGGCTTCGATTGGTTAACCGTTTCTAACCAATCGAAGTCTTTAAATTCAACCAATAAAATTAATATCGTATCATCGTATCGTCGGACAACGGATGCATGAAAATCAAGCTTTATTCTCATGACATTTGTTTTAGTTATTTTTTTTTAAATATTATTTCTTCCTACTTTAGATTGCCATGACCTATTATGTGACAGATGTCAAAATATTTTTATTTGATAGTCTGAAACTGAATGAAACAATTTTCTATTTCCTTCACTAATTATTATTATCTTATTAGCAAGTGAGAAAAAAATCATAATTATTTACATTTTAAAATATTAAGCTTTTAAAGTACTAACAAGTCGAGTTAGAAATAAAATAACACATTCGGTATAATAAACAGTACAAAAGAATACCCTTTACGCAAAAAAAAACTATTCGAACTTTTCTCAACACGTATATACATAGGCATTTTAATTAGAAAGACGATGTGGTACTTGTTGAGGAAGGTTCTGACTAAAGGTAGCTCTGTAGGATGCGTTTTGAGTGCGAGCACAACTATATCTGTTGGATACGGGCCTGCGCCCCGCTCCAATATTTAGTCCCACAGTGTTTCGTGCGCCCCAACGAGGCGAAGAAAGCAGCCGACGATGCCAAGATGAGATTCGCCCACATCGACGGAGACCACCTCACCTTACTTAACGTCTATCACGCCTTCAAGCAAAGTAAGTACAATTAATCAAGTACATAAGTACAAAGTAAGGTAATCGCAAAACATTTTCCGATGCAGGTCATCAATCATATTGAAATTGACACTAAAGCCTATAAACCTGACTAAATGAACTTTTGGCAAAAATGTTTAAATTTGTTGTATAATATAAGATACCGAGCAGCTCTTCATTTTACTTCATATAGCAAATGATTGTAACAGATATTTTATTTAGATTAAAGCTGCAAAAATTAGTTTAAAGCGATTTTTATTATCGCCATGTTGGTCACATTGCGCCGCGATCAGCTGCGTTGTCGCTTATTATTTGACAATTATCATAATGTCAGTCATTATTTTGTATAATATCGTGTTGTTGAATCTTAAGGCGCCTTCTCACGAGTCAAGTTTAGTTGAACAACTTTAGTTGATCAACAACAATTGAATAAGAACTATAGTGAGAATTACTGTTACAATGGACTTGATCAACTTTTTAGTTGTTCAACAAAAGTTTCTATCTCTAATCTATTCAAACTTTTGTCATTCAAGTTCCGAATTGCTTTCAAGTTGAAACAAGTCTTGAAACGTGTGATCTAGGCAGTCAATCAACTAGCCACGGTTTTGGTAGTTTTTGGCAAGAAATATTATTGAAAATAAAATATATCAGAGACATGAGTGCCTCTGGAACTATCGCATCAGTCAACATGAGCGATCATTCTAGCACACACCAACGCGTTCACGTTCACTGCCGTACCTATATATAGTGCGCCATCCTGTAGGTATAGATAGGTACAAATTAAAAATGTGAGTTATGTATACTATGCAATCCGATTGCAATTCCAATTTTGTCTCAAATTTTCTATTTTTAATTCTATTATTTTTGTAACTTGGGTCGGAAAAATCATATAGAATTTTGTGTAATTTTACAGCCTTAAGTGGCCTTAATTAGCTGCTCTGTTAACTCAATTTCTAAATTGCAACAAGAAAAAACACACAAAATAACGGAAAATTCTTATCAGTTGGGTCGCGATCACGCGATCCAACTCGACAAGTTGAATCTGATCGCCACCGCAGAATAGAACGCCGCCAGGCCGCTTCGTCTCCAAAACTCGATCGCGCCAATGTGAAACGGCTCATATGTATTCTACAGCAACTTTTGGCCGCGGCCGCGTGGAGATCGTGATCGCGGCCGTGATCGCACCAGTGCAGTGTGCGTGTAGCTTTACCTGGCCTAAATATTTCTGATGCGAAAAACAAAATTAAGACTATTAGAACGATGTGAAAACTGAACCGGGACTATCAGTTTCTGCTGCACATGTGAACTTTACTTGATCAAGTCTTTATTCAATTTTTGTTGATCAACTAAAATTGTTCAACTAAACTTGACTCGCGAGAACGCGCCTTTGGGGAGTAATTCTTGCCGATTTTAGTCTTTTTTTAAAAATTGTACTTTTAAGCAAAAACAGTTTTTTAAGAACTAAATTTTCGAGTTTTTGTATTGCATTTTTTGAAATTGTCTGTCGGAAATATGCCGAAGCATTTAAACAGTTGAAGCAAAGAGCTTGTAGCTTTCCTGATAAACCATTTTGAACGAGAACGTGACAATAAAGGTCCATTATTACCTTTGATTGCAGTAAGAGAAGTAAGTTTGATTGGTAAGCACATTATACCACTTTCAAAGTTATTTCTATTTATTTCGATTTGTAACGAGTAGCTGCTGTCTTAAATTTAAATATTGCCACTGTGAGTATTAGTGACTACTTTTAATAAATAATAAGTTAATTACTAAAATATTAATTATTAAATTAAAAATAAAACGTAAAGATCTTTAAAAAATTATATAATAAATATATTGTTTCCCAATTTTACATTAAGATTCATCTCATAAATCCATCACAATCTGGCACCTCTTTTGCCATCGTTTGTCACTCAAAGTTGATCACGTGCATCGCAAATTGTCCACTCCGAGTAAATGTCATTGAATAGCTAAAAGCTTCCAAAGTGTCGTTTTGATGAAAATTGAGCTCCAGACACCGATATTAGTTTTCGTCTATCTCCTAGAGAAAAGGGCGTTTCCATTTAAAAGCGTCGAATTTGACCCACCCTGTACAGGGTGAGTCAACGATAGAGTGAAGTCCATTATCTCATTTGTTTCGAGGTTTACAAAAAAATGTTAAAAGCAAAAGTTATAGGGAAGGTTAAGATACACATTTTAAAATTATTATAGAGTATACGGGGTGCTTCAAAAAAGTGTGGCGGATATAACATATGTTTTTTTTAAATACAACACCCTATTTTTTATTTTATTTTTAGATTCTGCCGAAAATTCTATAATTTTTTTATATATAATGTTATATACCTAAAATTAATAGTTTTTGTAATATTTAAATTTGTTTATACAAATGTTAAATTGCAGTGTGGTAAAAAATTGTCAGTGGTGCCATTGTTTCTGAAGTTGGAATACCAAAATTTGGTATGGGAGTTCTATAGAGATTAAAAAGAAGATATATGTTAAGATATTTTTTAATTAATATTGTTAAATGTTACAGAGTGTTCAAAATATATTTATGAATTTCAACTACTTAAAATTAAAAATTCTCAAATTTTTCAAATGGTACACCCTATATATTTTGATTTTTTCTGATAGATTTTGCAAAGCTCTTCGACTTTTATTAAGTATGTCATATACCTATTTTTAATAATTGCGATTTATTACAATTTTTTCTACTTTTACCCATATCTTTAATACAATTACGCTATAACATCATAGTTGTCACGACAAAAAATAATAATTATTATCAAAAATTCATATGTCTGTTAAGTAAGTTAAGAACAAAAGGTGAATTTTAGTTTAATTTCGTGTAATAAGTATAAATGTTAGAAGTAGAGGTAATTGTTTCAGATTTTCCTGAAAACGGATTAGTCAATGTGACTGATATACACGAACAAGCCAAAATAAACATATTTTTGGTTCAGTACTATAAGAATAGATGTAGATTATCTAGAAAACATTTTCATATTATGTTATATTGTTATATTTTCAGTGTGTAATGGACGGTTTCGCGGCAGTAGTCATATTGGCTTTACGAAATGAATTATAAACCAGAATTACTACGAGAAAAAAAACTTTACTGTATGTCGAAGAAAATTTCAATATCAGTAGTCGTCAACAATTAGGTAATCTAGTTAGTATCACCCTAATCTGTGGCTATTCGCCCCGACGGAACATCCAAGTGTTATCTTTCATAATATAGAAATACACCAAGAAATCCACGACTACGATTTTAGTTTATTTGAGTAAAGAATTAATTTTAACTAATAATAACAACTGTAACTAGTTATTAAACTATTTGTTAAAAATAAGTAATAAACATTTTTGTTTTGTCACGGCAACTATGATGTTATAGTGTAATTGTATTAAAAATTAGGGTAAAAATAGAAAAAAATTGGAATAAATCGCAAACTATTAAAAATAGGTATATGACATACTTAATAAAAGTTGAAGAGCTCTGCAAAATCTATCAGAAAAAAAGAAAATATGTAGGGTGTACCATTTAAAAAATTTGAGATTTTTTAATTTTAAGTAGTTGAAATTCATAAATATATTTTGAACACCCTGTAACATTTAACTAAAATGTCTTAACATATATATTCTTTTTAATCTCTATAGAACAGGGTTTCTTAAACTTTTTGCAGTCACGGACCACTTTCGCGATTTGTACAATTCCATGGACCCCTATCAGAAATAATAGAGGAAAATAAAAAAAACCTTATTTACATAAAAAGAAAACGTTAATAAATATTGTAGTGTAACAACCCAAATTCGTCAACAAAGTTGAAAAGGTAATATTTTGGCCAACTGTATAACAAGAAATTTAAAAGAAAGAAAGGTACCTACGCTGTGTTAAATAATTTTTTTATTGTGATTACCTCGGATGCGCCTCGACAGAAGCAATATTTTGGGAAATTTGAGGAGAATAGGTTATGTAAATAAAACGCTAAATTTGTAAATAGCCCTACTTATTTTATTAAATGAAATGAAAGGAGTGCCGTACTCTGCCTGTAATTCACATGTAAAAGAGCACGGCAGAGAAAACCATGATCACTATTCCAGAGACTCTAACTATGCTGTCCTTAATTTTAATAAAAGAGATAATAATAATATAGAAGCTGTCCTCATACCAAGGTTTTATACATTCAAAACATGCCACATTTATATCATTCAAAACTGAGTCAAGAGTCATTCAAGAGTCTTTGGTTAGTTAGCAGGTCGCCGCCTGCAGGTACTAAGGTCCTGGTTTCGGATCTCTAAGCTAAAGTTGGATGTTTGGTGTAAATATCTTAATATTATATTTATTGCTTTTAGTTGCCCAGATATTCGCCCAGTCACGGTGGAAAAGTATTAGTACATTCAACAAGGCCCTTGTTCTCACCTCGAACCACAAACATCGGCACGAATGGACAGTAAACGATTTTATTTAAATTACTTTTAAATTTAAATTATTTACAGCACAAATAGATTCCATTAAATACATACACGTTATATGATATAATTCTCAGATGAAATAAACAAGGAAAAACTTTAATACAGAATATTAGAACAGAAAAATAAAATATATGCTTTAGTTAACATTAGTTAAATAATGAGAAAATATTTATTTTACCTTTAATAACACTCTTTGTCACAAAACTCAAGAACCAAAAATAACATCAATGCGTCTCGAATCGTAGTCTAGAAGCTAATCCTCTTACAACTATTATCTCTGGTCGTCGCCTGGCTAGCGATTCTGTAAACATATTTTCTGTCTAGTGACTCATCAATCGTATACAAATAGCATAGGCTAGACAGGAAATTTCTTGCTACGGAGCTTACAGAATCCCACCGCTGATTTCCCTCTCCCTACTTTTGCGAATCATATTTTAAAAATCAATAATTTTATTTATGTATACAGATTGTCTTAAAAATGAATGTTTTGAATTTAAAGAAATATGTCTATTTTTAAATAGGCGGTTCATCTCAATATGTTTACAATTAACTGGCGTAATGCGGACCGCGGACCCCTGATATACATGCTATGAACCCCTAAGGGGTCCGTGGACCCTACTTTAAGAAACCCTGCTATAGAACTCTCATACCAAATTTTGGTATTCCAGCTTCAGAAACAATGGTACCACTGACAATTTTTTGCCACACTGCAATTTAACAATTGTATAAACAAATTTAAATATTACAATAACTATTAATTTTAGGTATATAACATTATACACAAAAAAGTTTGATAAATAAATAAAGTTAGAATTTTACGCAGAATCCAAAAATAAAATAAAAAACGGGGTGTTGCATTTAAAAAAACATATGTTATATCCGCCACACTTTTTGAAGCACCCTGTATACTCTATAATAATTTTAAAATGTGTATCTTAATCCTCTCTATAACTTCTGCATTTAACATTTTTTTGTAAACCTCGAAACAAATGAGATAATGGACTTTACTCTATCGTTGACTCACCCTGTACATATATGTAGTAAATTTAAAAAGTTTGAAACAAGCGATAACGGACTTTTATTTGTACTAGGTATGGAAGATCCACAATGGTGTTACGATAATTTCGTTAACTATCGATCACTCAAGTCAGCTGACAACGTCAGACAGCAATTGTCCAGAATTATGGATAGGTTTAACCTAAAAAGAACCTCCACAGACTTTACCAGTAAAGACTATTACTTGAATATCCGAAAGGCTTTAGTTAATGGATTTTTTATGCAGGTATTTCTAATTTAGTTTACTATAATTCTAGAATTTGAAATATCTTGTTCTATATCCTTAGGTGGCACATTTAGAAAGGACTGGTCATTATTTGACAATTAAAGACAACCAAATTGTTCAGCTACATCCATCTACCTGTCTGGACCACAAACCAGAATGGGTCATATATAACGAATTCGTATTGACCACTAAAAACTACATAAGGACAGTTACAGATATTAAACGTAGGAAGGTAGCATATTTTGTGCAACGATTTTTGCTAATAAATTATTCTTTTTCTAGCGGATTGGTTATTGAAGATTGCTCCTCAATATTACGATTTAAATAATTTTCCACAATGTGAAGCTAAAAGACAGTTGGAGATTTTACAGAATAGAATGGAGTCTCGACAGTATCAGCAAGGGTTCTAAGCTAGACTGTATATTTTATATCAGTTTTTTGTTATTTTAAAATTAATATATAGCTATAGTAGTATTTTATAATAGGCAGGATATGTCTATAGGCCACTTAAAGTGTCACATTATTAATTATATGGTTTTCTAAGAACATTTTATTTTTGTGATTTAAGTTTAGTATATTTTTTTCATTATATAATTTAGCAATATTTTAAGTTCTTTTAAAACATGATAAATGATAAATAATATGCTATTTGGATGTTTTGTTTTATTAATTTATAGGGGGCCTAACTAGCATTTATTAAGTCTTAATTTTAGTTTCTTTAAATTAATTATTGTACTACACATAAACATTATGACTGTGCTGTGTTTTATTAATCCCATTTCAGAGATTTTTTGAAGAAGTTTTTAGCATCATGGTGGAGGATTGGCATATCAGGTTTTTGGTAATTGTTCAGCAGAGAATTTTAACATTTGTACAACAGAACGTTCTACATTGAAGATCAATATCAAAGGAGCAGAAAGTATCATGGTGAAGGATTCAGCGGACATCATGTTTAAACTTTATATTTGTTCAGCGGAAAATTTCTAAATTGATATCTGACTTACACTCCAGCTCAATATAGAATATGGTGGGGCTAAGTTTGTGATTGGTCAGTTTATTGTGTGCAGAGTGGTCTAAAGCGGTGTATATTTTTGCTTTGATTGGCGCTGTATTTGAAAATATTTTGATTAGAATAGCAAACAAGTCTTGTTCGCTTTTAAAGTTTTCTTGATGATTATAGGTCTCGCACATTTTTAGAAGCCAAGATAATCTGTTTTATTTTTTTGACGAAACAATCATTTTTTTCAGTTATTAATCAGTCGCTGTTTGTCCATTACTGAACATAGACTTCCTTTAAGTACTTCAACCAACTAGATGGTTTCATTATATTACACGTATTCGTACATGATTAAGCGTAATCAGTATATTTGTCAGTTGATAACTGATTAACTACACCTAGTCATCTAGCGTCATACATTTTGAAAATGACTTTTTTGGGATAATCTGCTATTTGTGCCATAACTATGTACGATTATACTCTTTACTTTTCAGTGTTGTTTTGATTCACTTATGGATTTTCTCTGCTGTGCTTAAATTTATGTGACAGGTTCTAACGGATTTTTTTTTAGGAAGAACGATCATTTTGTGAATTATCAAGATCATATTTAGACGGATTTTGATAATTCAGAACTGAAACGCTTTTAATCTGACTGTTTTGGTAGGATATATTTTGGTTTATTTTATTTATTTTGCATTCTTTATGACGCTTTTAGATTTTTTGAGAGCTGAATCATAACCAGTAGATTATTTAATTTGCCGACGACTTAATTTTTTTTTGGTATATATCTGCTGTGTTGTCATATTGCTGTGTCTAAATTTAAGCGAAAACAGGTTAAAAAGAACACTTTAAAAAGAAGGCGAAAATAGGTATTACAAAAGGTTTTTTTTTATTTTTTGTCAGGCATGATTCTACTGTTTTATGGTTTTAGTTGATTTTAGGTATGAGCTCCAGGCTGGCTTTCGAAGAAGGCTTTCAAACAAAACTCGTATCATGTGAGCTGTATGAAATTTGCCGCACAAACTAGAAATTATTTAAGAATGTTGCAAATTGGTTTTACTGAGAAGCGGTTTCATTTGATCAAAATGAAATTTTGAGTTTTACTTTACAGAAGTAGTTTTATTTTTATCATTTATTTGAACAATTATGAGGACGGTCCAGAATATTCTTCCAAGTTGTCGGAATTATATTTTTTTTTATTTATACCAACTGACCAAGGTAATATTCTGGATTGTTACATTTAGGTAATTTTTTGTCTGTTTGTATTTTGGCAATTTTTATTATTTTAACCTGCTGCCCAGTGATCTGCTTGGAGTCTAAGAGATGGAAAATATTTAATTATGGAAATGAAACTTCCCTAGGAGATAAGTCCAATGAAGTTTACAGCAATAAACTATGCGTCACTTAATTAGCTTCAATTATTTTAATATTGGCCAAATAAATTGACTCTACAATAAACAAACTAAATAAACAAACGGAAAATGAAATAAATGTTTATTAAATCCCACTATATTGAGACATTTTAAATTAACAAATTTTTGACATGTTTTGCTAACACAGTAGCTTTCTCAAGACTGACAAATTTCTACTATCTACTTTTGCTCTCATATTATTATGATTTGTATCATTCTCCATTAGTTATTTCACATATATCTTGAATTTGGCAGTGCATAGTTCTAAGTTCGTCTTGGAACAAGCGATTGGTCTCTTTTTAGGACTTCTGTGATGCAGGACATCGCTTAGGAAGTAGTACTTGGTTATTGTTTTAGTATTATCTGAATCTGAACACAAAAGGAAATACATAATTAAAATTTAGTCGTATTCATTTGTATTATTAAGAAAAAACTCTTATTAATAATAAGAGTTTATTTCGCTACTGTTTAAAACACAACAGTTTCGCTACTGATTAAAACTGTATTGAAAATCTCTCTGGGAAGGTGCACTGGTTCATATGCATGTTTTGTAGTGCTTATCGAATTTAAAAATCCTCCAATAACATTTCTGTAATCTTTTTTTTTGAAATATTGAGCTGCCTAATGAACAACCCAATGAACAACCTGTTCTTCTCAGTTGATAGAATATTATTTTCTAGGCAATCCAGAGAAAGCGACTAGTGAATATAAACTTCTATTTTCAAGTCAACATTTCTGCAACTCCAACATGGAAGTAGTGGAAGTGAGCACTCCTGTTTGCGAAGACAATCAAATCTCCTTGTGTCCAACAAAATAAAGGTCTATAAAGTCCTTTAGAAGCGTCATTGAGTCATCATATATGTTAATATTATGCTTGCTTTACTACACGCTTTACTTACTGGCAGGATTTTGAGATGCCATTAGGTAAAACCATTTCTCGACTTGGTATAGGAATCAATTAGTTATCAAATATTCAGGTTTGTCAACTTCTTTTGCCAGAAACTTTAAAGCACTACCTACACTATGATTGACTACATTAGTAGAAGTAGATATATAGTTATATAAAAAATGCGTTAGAAGTAAAACCCCCTCCGACAACTTGGGTGCTAAATTAAACATGTGTTTCTCTTGATGTTTCAGTATGTCATATTATATGAAGACCATAGGGGAAAAACGTGTCAAGTCATTTTTATTTTTTTTTACAAAAAACGAATTGAAGGGTACACGGGAAAAAGGGACTCATGAACATTTATTCTTTTTTGCAGGAGAGCAATTTTTAGGTTGTTATTTGTCACCTTCAAGAACATTTTTTATCAACAATTTTTGCTGCCTTGGGATTTAAGCAGTGAAATAGAAAAACTAAATACCAACATGTGATGGTTTTTATTATTAGGTAGGGGAGCGCCGGAAGGGTTTGGACAATATATAAATAAATAATTATGACATTGACATAAGTGAGAAGTAACTAAATTTTTGGTGTCAGATCGATTGACTTATTTCATTCAAAAAGTATAATATAAGTACGTCATGAGTGACAGACACATATACGTACATATGTAATATGTCCAAACCCTCTGTTTGTTGGTAGTTTTTATTAATTAAAGATGTGGACTGTATATTTTATTTACTATTTATTTTAATATAAATACAATAATAAATCTAGTAATTATGTGGAAGAAAAACTTAATTAGTCTAATCTCTTCAGACGACAGAGCTCATATATTCGGTCGTCTTCCCGGTCTTCCTCTCCGCGTGCCATATGGGGTTTAAGGCGCGGTTGTCAGATTTTAAATTAATATAAAGAAAAAAAAACTTGGAATTTTAGCAAAAGTTAAATATAACACTTAACATACACCCGCCTTGAAAGCCTTTCAACAAAATCAGAAGAATGCAAACTAAGTATAAGTAAGTAATTAAAGTAGTATAAGATGTATAGGTTAAGCTAAATAAATGCAACACACTATAACTATACTGGAAATAAAAGGTATGAATAAAAATTAAATGTCTCTTAGATTGAGTCTATTGGTAAAAGCACACGCTTTACGCACAGGGCGTTGAATTTCGCCGGCACATGTCTGGACATCTACCACTCGAACAATCCCGTCACTGCTGGGTAAGTACAATCTGGCAATTCTCCCAACTTCCACGCAACAATGGGGACCTTTTCGTCGTGGATCAAAACTAAAGTTCCAACCTTCAGTACTTTCTTTGTACCAATTGTGCTTTTCCATTTGCAGTGGACTTGTAGTTCTGATAAGTACTCCTTTTCTCCATCCGTTGCCAAAAAAACTTTGGACGATACTTTGTAGCCGTTGGTATTTGTTCATCTGAGTTTCAGAGATGTGACAAACATCTGATATGGAAGTGACGTCAAAGCTTTCTACAATTAAAAAGTCCAGGGAGGAGTGCATTTAAGTCGGTAGGATCGTGGAGTGAAGGTGGGGCAAGGGCGAGGTTCCCAGGTGGATACTTTCGATCTGGATAATTATTGTATTGAATTCTTCAAAATTTAAAGAAGCGTTCCCACGACTATACGTTTAAAATGAAAATTTTGCACTCTTTTGATACCCGCCTCCCAGATGCCGCCAAAATTAGGGGGATCGAGCAGGAATGAATTGCTACTTTTATCATCTCCGATGAAAGAGCGTCCGTAATGATATCTTTATTGTTAGCCAGAAATTCGTATAGGTCTCTGATTTTTACCGTTTAGCGCCCACAAAGTTTTTAGCGTTATCCGACCATATACTCAGTGCAGGTTTTGCCGCGTCTCCGATAAACCTCTTTAAAGATGCCAAAACGCTCCAGTGGTTAAATCAGTGACCATTTCGAGATGGATGGCTTTGGTACAGAGACAAATAAACAAACATAGATATACCTTTATTTTGTTTTTGCGCCGCGAGTTAACCTATCTTTTATTAGAAATGGTCCGGCATAGTCAACTCCCACATTTGTAAATATCGACGTTTCATTAATCACCATGTCAGGTAAATCTGCCCATCAAATAATCGGAGTGCGAAAGGATTAACTTTAAAACAGAGAACACAAATCTGAATTACCTTTTACAAGCATTTCTGCCAGCTATTGGCCAAAACCGTTCTCTCACAGAGGATAGGAGAGCTTGAACACCACAAATGAAAAGTCTCTTTATGTTCTCCTCTAAAATAAAGTTCAGCTATTCTGTGAGACGCTGGGATAATAATTTGATGTTTTTGTCAAAAGCGGATAATTTGATGTTTGAGTCTC